CCGAAGCAATTCGGGACTGGGGTCGTTTGGATAATCAATTTTTTGGATAACTGATTATGTATGAAAAAATATATTAACCTATCTCATGTTGAAATTCATTCAAATCCTGATGCGTCCTTAAGTACCCTCTCATGGTCATGCCAGTGCTGCCAGCTAAAACATGCACACTTACAAAAATAATATTGGAGTAGTCCAAGACATAGCCAAATATGGCAGTGCCACAGCACTAGTGAAAATTTTAATATGCCAACTGGAACACTTTCAGTTAACTGATGTTTCGGTTGATCAATATTCAGATAATCACTGCTCTACTGTAAATATAATTCTTATCAAAAAAGATATTTTTAAAAACTATATATTATATTCACTAAATTACTGTGACAACAATACAGCACAAAATAGATGCATCATTACTAGTGATGTAACAAATATTCGGTTACTATTCGGTATTCGGCCTATTTTTTGCTATTCGGCCGAATACCGAATATTTAATCACTATTCAGCCGAATACCGAATACCTAAAAACAGGAGTAAGAAATAACAAAAACACAGTAAATTAATCATTTTGGTATTTAGATTTAATGTTATCTGGTTAGTGTTGTTTGTTTATATTTATTTATAACTTATAACANTGCAGGCGCAGCCGTCGTTCCTAAATGCCTACAAACAGCAGCGCACTCCCGTTGCAGAGCAACCGCTATTAATGAACACACCCAAAAACAGTTACCAGTCATGCTGAGATCATCATATAGGATGAATAATCATCTGGTAAAATATTTAATTAAATAATAAATAAGTATTTTATCTATGAAAAAATGAATAATAAATCCGATTTAAATAAGGATTTAACAGCATGTTTTTTCATTTTTGGAACCTAACCTTCCCCTTTTGCACTAGTTCTTTGTTTCGTATAACACGGCAATTTTTTGGAACATAACTCCCGTATTATACGGGGATTACCTGTACAGTGGTACCTCGGGATACGAATGCCCCATCATACGAAATTTTCAGGATATGACATGAAATTCGAACATATTTTTGCTCCACGATACGAACAAAAACTCACCATACGACATTACATTAGTTCGTAGCACCATGTTTTATTCATTTCTGTTCATCGATCTCAGTCCACGTGTTTGCTTTATCATGGAAGGATCTCGCTTGATAAAAGAAATCTTGAAGTATTATCAGAAAGTGACTGATTTTATTGAAAAGAAACATCCCAAAAAGGTTCACGGTGGCCGTATTGCTGCTCAGAGTGATGACATTTGCCTAAGTCATTTTAGAAACATTTTAATAATTTATTTATTTAATTTTAATTATTAATTTACTTAAGAGATGGCACCTAATGCCTACCTCTAATGTCAAATTACTTTATTCTAATCATTTAATTATAGCCTGATATTAGGCGATCGTTTGGTAATTTGCTACTTTTGTTGTTTTATTTTTGCATTAATATAATCTTATATTTTTTAAAATTCAATATTATAACATTAAAATGATAATCCAAATATTAATTGCACTTAGATTTCTGATAAAGTATATAAATATATATATACAGATAAACCATCACTAATCTGGTTCCATCAATATGGCACTAATTTCAGCTAGTATAATTTCAAATTTTCTGAGTCACTGTACCAACCTGCCACTACTATTTAGTGGGACTCAGATTGCCATATGTACAATAATTATGTTTTTTGTACAATAATATCACATTAGATGTAATATATGATAGTACTTGTACAATAATGACAAAATGTGTGATAATTTTACAAAGATTTTCATTTAATGTTTCTTTTTTCTTTATTAATCAACTTGTACTGATTTTCAAAGTATTTTAAGGTAGGATGAGTGCTTAGCTGTTGGGTCAAGTGTATTTTAACCTAATCATTCTATGATCTGGCAAAATCATTAATCTGGCACTCTACAGGTCCCAATGAAACTGGATTAGTGATAGTCAACCTATATTAGATTAAAACTAAGTAACAATATTTCAACCAGAATGGTACAGTTAAAAAATAATGATATAATGGTATAACTTTATAAAGTACTGTTAAAAATAATTGCTATAAATCAATATTTTATAAAACAGGTTTCAGAAATAAAAATAAAGCATCAACAGTTAAACAGTAATAGTTAGTTGCTACTGTATTTTCCATATTAACATCATGTAATATTATTTATGTAACAATCTGCAAACAATTTTCAGTATATAAAATTAAGCACCATAAGGGTACTACTGGATGCAAGGTATTTTTATTTGATACTAGGGTTTCTTTCCCGGGATCCCGTTTTCCCGGGATTCCCGCCGTTTATTCCCTATGAGAAAAATCCCGGGAAATTTTATTTTCCCGAGAAATCTCACATTTGAATAATAATTTATCATGTCAGGTTTTCTTTCTATTATTTATTATACGAAAAGTTGCATCTTGAAGACTCACCTAAGAGAAATTTTGAGGTTTTATGCTGCATATTATTACCTATGTTTTACAAGTCTCTACTTGTTAGTTCATGTAATATCTATGTATTGTATTTGCGCATCATTGAACAACGGAGAACTCGCTGAAAGTAAATATCACTCATCGCACTTTAGTTTATTTTTTATTTTATCTTTAGAAATAAAATAGTACTTTTTTTTTCATAATCATTAAAACTCCCAATGAAACGCTTTATTTTACTTTCATCTTATAATGTAGGAGAACATAAATTAATTGAGCCTAACGGGTCCGTATGGGTGGATTGGCCCTATACTTTTAGTTACTTACTAGAAAATAAATTAAATTATTCAAATTTATGATATTCCAGTATGATCTTTTTTATTCATATAAAATTCTATTTTACTATCTCATCCCGGAATTTCCCAGGATCCCAGGAAAAGAAATTATTTTTCCCGTAATCCCGCTGGAGGCAAATTTCCCGGGAAATGAGAAACCCTATTTGATACTGAAGAAGGCTAAATTTAGGCAAAGAGTTTCAGTTTTTAAATACAGTTTGGTCACCATAGTAATGAAAAGTAGAATATACTATATATGAATTTGTATCATATATCTGATAGTTTTCATTTAACAAATTTTCATTTTATTAGCACTTTATCTGATTGTTGTTACAGAAGAAAAGATTATATTGAATTTCCTACAATGTGATTATTAAACTCTCAAAATTCTTCTAATAATTTACATCTTCTCTTTAATTAACATTATAGATTTGCATTAACCACATCTTTCACTGGTATTTATCTCTCTACTAATGACTGAGACATGATTCCATTTTATGTTTTGTTTTAACAGATAAATTTATAAAAAGATTTTAAGATACAATCTGAACATGCAGAATAATATAACAGCTATTTATAAAAATTTACAAAATACAATTTCACAAATAAGGTTTTAAAACAAATCTACCATTAAGTAAAGAGCTTGCATATAACAATATTATATAGCAGAAGAACATATAAAGGGTCATTGAGGTAAGTTCAGAAAAGTCATTATATAATGAAAAACAATTAAAAATAGAGGAAACAATCAATATATTCTTATAAAACTTGATACAAAAATAGTGCACAACATAAGAAATAAAATTATTCTATGCAGTTTACATCAACTTCCATGACCATCTCTAGCCTTGACCTGAAACAGCTATAGGCATGGCTTGACCTGATCTTTGTCCATGTTCATCATCACTTCTGCAATGGAAGTCTTTAGAGCATCCTTTGTATTGTGATGGATTGTATTTACCTTTGCTTCAACCATACCCCACATGTAGTAGTCAAAGGGATTGCAGTTGGGGTTAGATAGGAGCCACAAGTCTGGAGACCAAAGATTGAGGTTTCAGTTTTCTGTCTTCCTTGTTTTTCTCAGTCAAGAACTGGCAATTCCTGAGAACAAAAGAATGGTATTGCAGGTACTCATGCACTGCTATACTGATTATTGACCTCATCACATACATTTCTTTTGCAAGGGTGGCTCATGCTCCATGCATCATCCCAATTGATTCCTTCAATTTGACTACAAATTCTATACTTCTCTTGCAATCACAATGATTTTTGTAAGTTAATGATTACTTTTACGCGACAGTGAAAGAAGAGCAAGTCACACCTACTTCTCATGTAAATAAACACAGAGTGTTTTATTACTTCATTAAAATCACTCTCTGCTTGATTAAAGTTCAGCCAAATTACAATGTAATGATTTTGTTATACTTGGAGAAATGTTAAACAGTTTATTTTGTTTGATTTAATTATGGTTTTTTTTGGTCTTATGAAATAAGTTGCACAGTTGTCAAACATCAATTACCTAGTTTAAAAATCAACACCACCCAAATTATTACAGAAAACATCAAAGTTTGTGGCTGATTATCTAAACATGAATGTTTTCTATATAAGAAATGAAGCAAAAATGCTTTAAAACTTAAAATATCCTAATAATATTACCTAATAAAGACATTAGTCCTGAAACAGTTATGTAATAAACAAAAATTTTAATAGTTGCAAATTTGAAGGTATTAAATTTTTTTTATCATGCTTTAGTCACAACAAAGCACATAAGAAAAATTGCATTTTTCAAAAATAAATGCATTCGTCTATTTGAAATGAATTGAAATTGGACCAGATATTAAGGAAGAGCAAGAAATATAAGAAAAAGTATTTTATAAATATATATTTATTCTACAATAATACTTTGTCAAATCATGCTAATTACATGCAATGCTATACCCATTTGCCCTCTTTCAATTTTTTCATATCCAGTTAGTTACGTAGAATCTGTGAGATGCCAGCATATTTTTTTGCATAAAAACTAGTCACATAGCATAAACCATATATATTGCATTTTAAATAACTTGAAAAGTTATGAGGCCTCTTTAATTTTTTCAGATTTTACAAAATTTTATGAAAAATCAGTGTTAAAAAAGAGACTAATGGGTGTCCCACAGATGCCACATGACTACCAGACAGTTAAAAATTTTAGAAAATAAAATTTTTTGTAAAAATGAATACTTACAGGATTGACAGATGAAATGGTTCCATCTAAGGATGCTGCAACAACATAATATGGTTCTTTATTTACTACTGGTGATGAAAATATACTCCCATTTCCAATCTTTTCTTTCCACATTATTATTCCAGTCTATAATAGAATATTTTAATTTATATAAAATCTCAGGAAAAGAAATTATTTTTCCCGTAATCCCGCTGGAGGCAAATTTCCCCGGGAATTAGGAAACCCTATTTGATACTGAAGAAGGCTAAATTTAGGCATAGAGTTTCAGTTTTTAAATACAGTTTGGTCACCATAGTAATGAAAAGTAGAATATACTATATATGAATTTGTATCATATATCTGATAGTTTTCATTTAACAAATTTTCATTTTATTAGCACTTTATCTGATTGTTGTTACAGAAGAAAAGATTATATTGAATTTCCTACAATGTGATTATTAAACTCTCAAAATTCTTCTAATAATTTACATCTTCTCTTTAATTAACATTATAGATTTGCATTAACCACATCTTTCACTGGTATTTATCTCTCTACTAATGACTGAGACATGATTCCATTTTATGTTTTGTTTTAACAGATAAATTTATAAAAAGATTTTAAGATACAATCTGAACATGCAGAATAATATAACAGCTATTTATAAAAATTTACAAAATACAATTTCACAAATAAGGTTTTAAAACAAATCTACCATTAAGTAAAGAGCTTGCATATAACAATATTATATAGCAGAAGAACATATAAAGGGTCATTGAGGTAAGTTCAGAAAAGTCATTATATAATGAAAAACAATTAAAAATAGAGGAAACAATCAATATATTCTTATAAAACTTGATACAAAAATAGTGCACAACATAAGAAATAAAATTATTCTATGCAGTTTACATCAACTTCCATGACCATCTCTAGCCTTGACCTGAAACAGCTATAGGCATGGCTTGACCTGATCTTTGTCCATGTTCATCATCACTTCTGCAATGGAAGTCTTTAGAGCATCCTTTGTATTGTGATGGATTGTATTTACCTTTGCTTCAACCATACCCCACATGTAGTAGTCAAAGGGATTGCAGTTGGGGTTAGATAGGAGCCACAAGTCTGGAGACCAAAGATTGAGGTTTCAGTTTTCTGTCTTCCTTGTTTTTCTCAGTCAAGAACTGGCAATTCCTGAGAACAAAAGAATGGTATTGCAGGTACTCATGCACTGCTATACTGATTATTGACCTCATCACATACATTTCTTTTGCANACATTTGGAATTACATAATTTTTTTCTTTATAGCATTTGTATCTATTGAATTTGCAATCAATTTTGCAGCAGCATCAACTATAGCCTTGGCCTTCTGGAAATTGATGACATTCTTGCATATTCTCTAAGCAAAATTTCTGCACCCAGTACATCTCCAACAGAAATGAAGTTTTCTTTACAAACAGTAAACTGGTTTCTGGAATATAATAGATTTAATATGCCATTTTTATACCCAGTTTGTAAAGGATTTTATCTTCAACTGCAAAAACAACATCTAAAATATTTTTTCCATCATTGCAGACTCCATCTACATCTTGTACATGAATCCTTACTGTGTCACCAACATTAGCTGTTGGGTATTTTGAATTTTTTCTGCTTGCATTTTAAGATTAGAAAAAGCCATTTCCTTGTTTTAGACATATTTCTTATTTTGACAAGACTGTCTTGTTTATAAAATCGTACTGCCACTCGTTCTTACCAGCATAGAGGTATGAAGAAGTACATGTCGAGAGTTGATATTTGGCACAGAGTATTAGGTGCCCAAATCATTTGCGCATAAAAAAATCCAGACTCGTAGGTAGTCAGGGGATCGAGAATCGAGTCAAAATAAAATACAAAATGGCAACCCTCTTCTACAAACAGGCAAAACAGCCACCTCACCCCACCGAAGTCAGGTAGGGGAGAGTACCACCCGCAGTCATTCTAAAAAGTGAACTCTGATCTTAGGACTGAATACGTAGTTTCTTCTATGTTAAATAAAATTTGTAATCTAATATTATAAATTTGGGAGTGCTTCAAATATGACGTTAAAACGGTTCTATGTCATTACAAATGGTTTTTTTTTAACATTATCTAGTATAGTAAAATCGTGGGACTGATAAAAATTTGACATTATATTAGGGTTGTCATTACATCCGATGACGTTACAATTGGGTTAAACTGTATATTGTTTGTGCAAAATAAAAAAAATAATTTCAGACGATACAATAGCCATGATTATTGGGAAATTTTCGTTACGCATCGACAAAAATCCAACCCGGGTCAACATGCAACAGAGAGAAATTTTGAAATTGGATAAGTTAATTTAATCAAAAATGCATCGTGGCCGCGGAAGTTTGAACGATTGTGCCCAAAAGCAACGATACCAAAGAAGATTGGAGAATGAGAACAAGACCCACCTTGAGCGTCAAAGTAATTCTGCTTAGTAGATTCTCCAAGACATAGTCTTGGCCCAAATACGGTTTTGCCGTTTTACTTGTTTTCTTCTATTTTCGAATTGACTATTTTTTCTTCATCATTCATCAGCTCTATAGTACTAACATCATCCTAATTTTTGCAAATCAACATGGTTAGACCTTTTTCATGTGACAGGAACATTCTGTTTTCTGACAGATTTCACATAAGTTCAAGTAAATTATGATGATATCTTCCTTGTAATATTTTTTATATTTTGTACTTAATTCCTTTTCCATATGGTTTCTGCTGATATGGTCAATAGCAATATGGATATCATGCAATGTCTGAAATATTTCTTCAGTGTGAATATAATATTTAATCACATTACTTCTTTTACAGGCACAATTAATTTTCCCATTTCTCTAATAGATACAATATCATATCTAGGAACATTTATATTCTTCTGGTAACTTTGAAGTTACTTTGATTTTTGACACTTACTTTTTGTATCATTGTCAAATATGCTGATTTTGTAAAAATGTGACTGTTCTGACTTTTAATACTATTAACTCATTTAATCAGTTGTTGAAGCAGTTATTCATATCATTTAATGATTACTCCATGATCGTTACTTTTTTCAAAGAAGAAAACACTATTTTAAGAGACAAAAGTAAAATTTATGTCTCACACAAAATTAACTACTAGTCGCATAAATTTAAAATATTCAATAGTAAATGCAATTTGCATACACAAATCAACTGCAAGTGCTGATTGACTAGCACAAGTCGAATGATCACTCCTCAAGGTATTATCATCACTTTGCCTGACCAAGTGATAGCAGTATTCATAATGACTGATCAATCTGATAAAAAACCTGAAATTTATTACAGTGCCCAATTTTGTTTGTCATTATTCATAATGACTAGAACATTATGAATAATGCCCATATCACTTAGTCTATAACATATACAATCATAAAAATTACTGTGATCATTACAAAATACAAAAAGATCAAATAAATTATCATTCCCAAACCTAGAAATTTCCTTCAATATCCCAATTCTAAAATCCAACAATTAGAAGAAATAAAAACTAAATAAATGAAACAAATAAAAAAACAACAAAATAATAAAATAATTAACTGATACACTAGTCAAAGTCATAAATTACACAATAAATTATACAATATGATTTGAGAGATCAATGCTTCATCCTTCAATTGCATGACTAATAAAAGTCTGCTATTAACTTAAAAAAGCCTCAACAAAAAATGCACTCAATCATAAGTATAAACTTTAGTTAGTTCCAGAAATTTCAGAATCTTGCCCATAATACAAACTACAATATTTATTTACAATAATAAAATTTGGAATTGGTTATTAATTATTGTACTTTGTATTAAGGGCAGAGTTCTGAAATTTGTATATTAATTATATCGGTTTTTTACATATATCAATTGTAATTGATATATTTAAAAACACTTGATTAACAGAAACAGCATTTGTTCACACAAAATAAAGTCTTTTTAAAAAAATTGCTGGGACGAAATTACTTTAATAGAAAAAATTATATTTCTTGAGTCTATACATACAAAATGAGTCAATTTCTTTTGGTTCCTTCACACGCTGTTGAGGCAATAACGATTCCTCAGCAGAGTCGACCTTTTATTGTAGGCTACTTATCAGCCATACAATGCAAAAAAGTTAAAACAGTCCTCTAGCAGTGGCACAAAGATAAAATTAATAAATACATTTTTTAAAAATTTCTCAAAAAATATAATTTTTTCTGTTAAAATAAAGTCTACCATAACAATAGTCTAAAAAAATCTGGCTTTTAAATATTTTGTTAATAAAATTAAAAACTTTATTAACAAAATAAAATATTTTGTTAATAAAGTTTGTTAATATGCAAACTTCCTATTTCACTGTTTCTCACAATAGTTTAAATAAAGTAAAACACTTACATTTATGTCAATTGCATAGAGATATTTATCATGAGAACCACAGTATAAAACATTTNAACATAATGTTAAATTTACAGTATGACAAATCACAACTCCTTCAGCAAATTTTATGGACTAATGTATAACAGTTAAAATGTGCACCACTGGGCAAAGCATAGTCCAAGATACAAGTAACATATACAATATAAAGCACATTTTGCCATAAATATTTCATGTGGAATTTCGGATAAGCAGCTTCTTGGTTTTGTGTTTATTGATGGCACCCTAAATAGTTACAGATATCTGAACATCCTAAACATGGCAATGAAAAATGATGATAGTTTTATAACTTGTCATTGGTGCAACTAAAGTAGGTTTGATACCAGTACAATGGTGTACCACCTCATTTCCAGAAAGCATTTATCAGTGGCTCACATTATTAAAAGCTATTTGCAGTACCTTAGATCTTTTATAACAAGAGGTGATGCATCAATACATTTTTCTAAATCATAATTCCAAATGCATTTTAAAGAAGCAGAATTAAAATTTTCTTTGTTTGATAAATTTAGAGTATTTGAACATAATAAACAAACACATCTTTTTACAATTCCACGTCTACTAAAAACATGAAAACATGATCTTGCTTCATTTTTAACATACATTTTTGGATGAGTGTTTTTTTCATCTAAGTCTTTAATTCCTTCAGGAAGATTATTTATTTTTGATCTTTTAATTATTCCTAAATCAGTATTCTCATTTACTGGTAATATTCTTTTTCCTTCATCATTAAACCCAATTAAATAGTTTAAAACATCTTGCAGTGAACAATTAAGCAATTTTTCAATTAGTAATGGGTAATCATTTCCAATATACCATTCTATTTCTTTTGATAATTGAACAGCTCCAATTGAATCTCCACCATCATAAATGAATTGATGATTTTCAGTTTCATTAATAGAAGTAAGTCCTGTATATTTCTACAGAAAATATAAAATGTATGTCAATTAATTCAATATTCATCTATTATTAAAATTATTACTACAAAACATTTTTTTTAATTTTATATAAATTTTATAAACAATAATACATTTTAAAATTAAAAAAAACTAGATACTGTATTTAAAGATTAAGTTAGGAAAAGATAGAAAAAATAGGGCAGCATTTATGGTCGGCGCTTTTGGGCGTATTTTAAATAATTGTTTACTCTTTTGCAGATGCTTACCACCAGGAGGTGTAAATTAACTATTTAAGTGATCGATTTAGTGTTTGAGAGTTGGCAGCATTTATGGTCAGCGCTTTTGGGCGTATTTTAAATAATTGTTTACTCTTTTGCAGGTAAGCTCACTGGTTTGTTTCGTCATGTCTAAAAGGAAGACTTATTCACCTGTAAGTCAGTCGGATAGTAGATCTAAGATTTTTCATTCTGACCCATTGGAGGAGACGAGTATCTTGGAGTTACTTCAAGGAGAATTTGATATTAAGGATGGGATATCGTTACTTATTCAGCTAAATTTAAAGCAGAATAAGAAATTGGAAGGAATGATTGCTAGGATTGATAGAATCTACTCCTGGGTAGAAAATTTGGACGAAGCTATTGTTAATATAGAAACTAGATTAGAAGATTTAGAGAAAAAATTTACATACGATACCGGTAANATGTAAGGCGTTGACTGCACTCAGACAAAAGTGTTATGGTGAAGATTGTTTTTCGGTTCAAGCATATAAACGGTTGCTGCAGGACTGGGATAATTATTATTGTATTTATAGTTTTGTAACTAAGTTAAATGATTGACTATTTATTTGTTAAGATTAAGAAACTTTTCCTTTTCAGATGCTTACCACCAGGAGGTGTAAATTAACTATTTAAGTGATCGATTTAGTGTTTGAGAGTTGGCAACATTTATGGTCGGCGCTTTTGGGCATATTTTAAATAATTGTTTACTCTTTTGCAGGTAATGGCTTGCTTTTTTCTTTTCTTTTATTTATTATATTTTGTTTATGCCAACCATTTGCTGCCATTTTTTCATTTGTCTTATTTATGTATTTTATTTATAAGAATATAAATGCTATTATTGTTTCGGATGATATTAACCTGGTGTTGTCTTGTAGTTTNTGCTTTTTTCTTTTCTTTTATTTATTATATTTTGTTTATGCCAACCATTTGCTGCCATTTTTTCATTTGTCTTATTTATGTATTTTATTTATAAGAATATAAATGCTATTATTGTTTCGGATGATATTAACCTGGTGTTGTTTTGTAGTTTTTCTTTTCAGTCTAATTGTCACGTGTTATATTCTTGTATTAATTTGTTTTTTTTTTTTGTAGTGTTATTTACTACAGTTTGTAATTTCAGTTATAAGAGCCCGTACATACAGGGCTTTCCCTTGTACTAAATAAATAAATAAATAAATAAATAAAGATAGAAAAAATATAAGAGGAAAAAAATAAACAATTTTTTAATCAGAATTACATAAATTTTAATTAGACTCAAAGTAATGAGATAATTATTAAATCAGACAAGATAATTCTAATTTAATTCTTATGCTGCATTATTGCTTTAAATCTTTCATCATCAGGATGATTTTGGATAAAAATAACCATTTTTAATTATTGTTTGATTGTATTAAGAGTCTTTTAATATATAATTAGTATACAATATAAAAAATATTTTTGAAGTATTCATTGTACGAGTCATTTAGATTTTACAAATACATGTGCTGGGCTGTGAACGGTTTACGTATTTGTAAAATCTAAGTGATTCGTACAACATGGAATTCATATAAAATGGAATAATCAACAGTGTTGTAGGGGGGTCGACTGTACACAGTTAGGGTACATCATGAGAATGCACACTAAAAAGGAATTTTTTGAAATTCCCTCCCCCCAGCAAGAGAAATGTTAACAATGGAAGTGTTAAGAGAAAGCGACATGCAAGATTTACAGGTGCAGATGCAGTTTTTGCAGGAAATTGAACATATTTTTAGACCTATCTAAAAATTTTCTAATTAGTCTGGAAACAGGAGGACCTAATTCTTGCATTCTGTGAAAATGGACGAGATTGGCTATAATGTAATAATCGTAATCTTTGCTATCATTACTTTTTGCCTGAGCAATGCCGGGCTTATCTGCTAGTTTTCTAATAAAGCTTTTTTGGAAGAAATGTCTGTAATTTAAACTCTAACATTAAAAATTTGAGATATTGCATTAGAAAAAAAAGAAGGTGAATGCAACAGTAATTTTTTAAAATAAACTAAAATTAATTGTCATAAGTTATGTAAGATAAAATACAGCATGATATTCAGATTTGTTTATAAACATAAGTACTATTACTAATAAAAATAATATACAGATATAAGAGAGGTTGAGGCGCACGTTTTAAACGTGTAAACGTGTACGTGTGACGTTCGGCGCCGCTTTCCCATAAGCCTAAAAGTTTGACAATGGTGTTTGGATAGTCGGTGGAATCACGCTCGACATTCCAAACACCATCGTCAAACTTTTAGGCTTACGGGAAAGCGGCGCCAAACGTCACACGTACACGTTTACACGTTTAAAACGTGCGCCTCAACCTCTCTATAATCAATAAAAAAACTGTAATTATAAAATACATTTAAAATGAGAATTATTAAATACATAAAGATTACATAAGAGTAAAAGCTATTATGTTCATCGCTTTTCTAATTTCAATATTGTATAATTTTGTTATAAACACTCACATATGCAGGGTGTCTACTTAAACATCTATCCAAGGACAAAATCTAATTTTTCCAGTATTAGTTAGCTTAGATTAGGTTAGATTGTAGACTGCAACAGACACAAATACATTGGATATTACATTGCCATGACATATATCCATTCCATTGCTATCTGCAACCAGCACAATATGAAGAGAATACTGCACAGTGATTTGAAGGGTAAAACATAATGTTAAATTTACAGTATGACAAATCACAACTCCTTCAGCAAATTTTATGGACTAATGTATAACAGTTAAAATGTGCACCACTGGGCAAAGCATAGTCCAAGATACAAGTAACATATACAATATAAAGCACATTTTGCCATAAATATTTCATGTGGAATTTCGGATAAGCAGCTTCTTGGTTTTGTGTTTATTGATGGCACCCTAAATAGTTACAGATATCTGAACATCCTAAACATGGCAATGAAAAATGATGATAGTTTTATAACTTGTCATTGGTGCAACTAAAGTAGGTTTGATACCAGTACAATGGTGTACCACCTCATTTCCAGAAAGCATTTATCAGTGGCTCACAGAACAGTTTGACAACTACCAGATAGGACAACACAGCCCAGTTCACCAACAACACCAATGTTGATGAACTAGAAAGATGCATACTGGCCTGTGAAATGATGACATCAGCAATGCTACATGCCATCTATAATGCCACAGTCAATCATCTGTATATTTTTATTGCCTCTGAAGGTGGTAATTTTGAATATGTTCTCTAACAAAGTTCATATTTTTGTATTAATGTCTGCAATATTGTCTTTATCCTTTACAGTTAGAGATTACAGTGGAACCCTCTTAATCCAAATTTCCAGTTTATCTGGATAAGAAAGACATATGATAAACCTATATACACAAAAAATAATCAAAAAACTAACTTTGTAAATAGTACATTCTTGCCTGAGTATAATGTTGCAGCTGTAAGAATACTGTTTTCCCTTGGTTCAATGCTACTTTTGAACACCTGCAACTTTATAACCAAGGATCTGGTAACAGAAAAAATACAGTACAGTATATCACAATTACTTCAATTCAAATTAATCCGAGGTTTCTCTATGGGCAATGCTAAAAACATCTCTTTTGACCTTGAATAAATGTTTAAATAGACACCATGTATGTTATATAATCAAATGAAAAGTTTACTTAGAAGATAGCCTTGGAAAGTGCCTGAAACCAATGATATCTGAGTGATTCATCACATGTCATTGACTCTTAAGTGTAATGTCATCTTATTAATTTTTTTTAGTAAGTGTTGTGATAACTGGAATGCTTTACACTAAAGAACATAAAATTTTCATAATGGAAAGTTACATAAAAAAAGTTACTGAAAATTACAATGATAGTTTATGTGAAAATATCCTAAATCATTTGTATTTACAGATTAGTAATAATAATCTATAAATCTGTAATAATAATAATAATCTGTATTTATTATTATTATTACATATTCACAAGACAGCACAAAATCTCCATGGCATTTATCTTTTTATTATTATAGTCTTTTTCATAGAGTTATGAAGAAATAAAATTTAAATGTTTATCAAGACATTCAGAAGTGTAGTAATAAACTTGGTCAGCTCCCATGTTGACAAGTCTACTCTTTGCAAGTAAATTTTACATTTGATCATTCTATATAAGTACAGTAGAGCATCAATTATCCGACCCCCTGATTAACTGTCACATCAGTTAACCGACCGTTCTAGTCGGCAAATTTCAAATGTCCGCTAGTGATGTGGCATTACAATATTTGGCTATATTTTGGCTACTTTAATATTATTTTTGTTAAATATTTGTGTGTTTTAGCTGGCATAAACGGCTCAACCATTGAAGGGAGGCCAATATTTAAACAGGACTTAATTTTCTAATTATGAGTGGTTGTTTGTTTTGTGAGCAATAAAATAATTTAAAAATAATTTTTAACGATACAATAGCAATGATTATTATTTAAAAAAAAAAAATTTGTTAGGCTAAACATCTATGAAAATTCAACGCGAAGTTGGTTAATAGCAATATACTAATAAACTAATTACATGGGATATACTAATATCCTAATATACTATACTAATAATGTATTTTTTTCCTTCTTTTCGATTATCCGATTTTTCAGTTATCCGACCAACCCGAGTTCCCAATTGAGTCGGATAATCGATGCTCTACTGTATTGTTATTACTGATGCAAGATACATAAAATTAATTTTTCAGATCCAGTTTAAAAATAAAGACAGTATTAAGTGAAAACAAAATATAAGTACTTATTTTAATAAATCACATTACATTTATAAACAATATAAAGTAATACATAATTTTATATATACTGTATAAATCAAAAGTCACTCTGATAAAAATACAGAAACATACTTTCCATAGTGTCAATAATTCTTCATGAATATTAAAATCTTCCATATTTTTCCTCTTCCTTTTACATTTACCATAATTTATTAGCACTTCATAATCTAATTTTCCTACAATACATTTTTTACTGATTTTAATAATCAAAAATTAAAATTAAATGTTATAAGTTTAACACTATTTTGCTACATTATAAAACTAAAAAGATAGAATTGCAATAGTTATTTTTATTTCAAATTAAAATTAAAGATTCTTTTACTATTTACAAGCATATAAGTACAGTATTTTGAAAATACTTATATTTTAATTATGTTATTATATAAATAATACGTTTTATCTAAAAAAAAATAACAATTAAAATTAGTTTATAATTCATGTAGTTTATTTATTTCTTTTAACCATTATTTTTTGGTAATCACAGCTAGTACATAATATACAGTGTTGCCCAGAGATCAGTTAATTAAGATATAATTTATCTTGGTCCAACCTGTACATACTAAACAAAAATCATGAAAAAATAATAATAATAATAGAAAAAGTATATACAGTAGACCCCCTATAAAATGGGTTCCTATAGTTCGGATTCCTATATGACAGTGAAAAAATTGCGACAGTATTCGTATAAACATGCTAAAAAAAACTCGTATAATTTGGTAAAATATCATCGCTGACTCGTGTCGCAACAGGATTGGTCAAATCTAGACCAATAGCAGATATTGTACAAACCGTTGAGTTTAAACAAGCAGCAAACCTACTAAAAACCATTTATTATTTAACATCCATAAAAATTATATTTATATTAATGATGTCTCCAAAGTTCAGCAAATTTTTCACAAAAAAAAAAAATAATTTATCAGGAAGCATGCGAGCGCCATTCAATGATAAGCTCCACAATGAAAACAAGCTTAAGCAATGGCATCATCAAACAGTGCACACTCAGTAAGTAATCCTACAATTTTTTGTTTATAGCATAGTTTATATGGATTATTCCCAAAAAATTATACGTGTTTTGGAAATGTTGAGTCAAATTAGTCTAGAATCAATTAATTTTATGGAAGAAACCTTTCAAACAGCCATAGTCCGTAAACTGCATACGTGCCTGGCTGTGACTGGCTCATGTATTTAAAGGACTAGTAGAAAATGGATTCATAAAAACCAGAACATATTTACCATGTTATAGGGGGTCGACTGTATTCAATTTATTTATATTCTATAATATTGCAAATATAATTCTAATTGAATACCAATTATATTTTTATAGACATCTTATGCAAAATCTTTCACAATAATCATACAGAATGTATTAATACATAAAATCTGATAACACTTTCCTTAACTTGGTGCATAAATATTATATCAATATCACTTTTCTATGCATATCACGTGAAAGAAACTGGATGTTCTGTCATTCACCTGCAGCTGTAATTGGTATTACAGTACTTGCTAATATAGTGACCTCCATGATGAGAAAGGTTTCTTTATATTAGAGTTTGATCAAATCAAGCCTGCTACAAGATGTTAGATGAAAACTTCAGACTGCCTAGGATAAACAGGCATCAAGCTGGGTAAAATTTACAGCATAAGAAATTTGTAACACAAATTACTTGGTCCATGAAACAGGAATAACATCCAGATATGAGTGAAGAGAATGTGAAATGAGTCACACACACATTCACAAGGAGCTCAACAAAATCAATGTGTAGAGTTGCGTATATTATGATGACAGTGTAAAAGGTTCTGCATAAGATGTCTATAAAACTACATAAATTGTAGTTGCTGTCCATGTTAAAATTAAATGATAAATAAGTATTGATACTTTCAATGTTTCTAGAGAAAGAAGATAACAACTGTATGAACTGCTTAATTTTCAGTGATGAAGCAATATTTCACACAAGTGGGATAGTCAATAGGCACAACTGCCTGTTGAATATCCTATTTATGTAAAATTTTGGTTAAACTTGGAGTACCCAGAAATCTCACAAAATTATTCAAATGAATGTAATTTGCTGGAGATGAACACTTTTTGCACATTGTCATGCCAAAACTTTACTGATTTTTTCTCCCTACTGAGAGTACTGCTACTGGACATGTTGCAGTAATGGCTATTGCCTCAAATGAAGTAAGTCATTAGTCCTATCCAATTTCCATTTCTTTATACCTGATCACCAAGCTGCCTTAGCACTAGCTGTGATGTGCTACAAAAAAAATGGAATGGCTGTTTCCCAAAATGGCTATCAAGGTCACTGGATATAACTCCATTGACTTTTTCCTGTGGGCTACATAAAGAATTGTTTGTATGTACCACCTTGTCATGTGATGTAGAAAAACTCAAGCAGAAGATTCAAGTTGCTACTGCCATGATCTTAAAACATAATGCAAGAATTAGACTAACAGGTAGAACATTTGCCAAGTCACACATGATTCCTATATGAAATCTTTGTGATGTGAAACAAACTTTCAGAATTTCTCTTCAAAATGTTATAGATATAAAAGTGGTATCATATATCATTTGTAATCCTTGTGTAATAAATTAAGGAAAGTGTTACCAGACTTTATACAAACCCTATAGAGACAAGAAGATGATCTATTTATTCTTTAATATAAATACACACATAATGAAGAAATGTTTTAAAAACTATTAATAACAAAAAATAGTTCTGAGAACATTTAATATTTTTGATGGTTTCAAAACTTCTTAAAAAACTCAACCCATACTTTTTTTATATATAAAATATCAAAAGAAATAAGTATGATTCTATTTCTAATAAATTATAATAAAATTACAAAATAAATTACTTACCATGAGTTGTTTGTGGAAAAGAATAAATAACTTGAACAACAAATGGAATAATCGCCGACTGCTCAGTTTTAAAAATTTTGAAAATTTCCATTTCAATCTGATTCAGTTCTTTCTGTTTATCTACAGGAATTATGAAGACATAAAGCAGTTTTTCTTCTTTGTGGTAAAAAGTTGAACAACAATTTACAAAAGGCAATTTCCTAACATTGTTTTCAATAAATGCAATATCTATTTTCTTTCCATTGTGTTTCACTACAGAATCTTTCCGTTTTATAAAAAATAAATCACCATTTTCTTTTTTGTACACCCAATCTCCTGTTGCTCTCATTTGTTTGTTTATATTTTTTATCTGAATTTCTTCATTAATGAAACACTGACGAGCACCTCCTAAAATTAATATTTTTAATATATGAGTAACTAACAAAAGTATATTGTAAATATATATTATAACAACACCAGTACAACATATTGCTATTATCAGAGGTAATAATTATAAATACAATTTAGTCCTTTATTTCATAAATTCAAAGATGATATTTATTTTTATATATCAGTGCCTGAAAATTGAAGTATCACTATCAAATCACTGATTAAAACTCAATTAAAAATAATACTTTTGCTGCTGAGTTATGTAATTTTGCATCATATGACCTTTGTTATAGCATGCTGACAATGCAATTTATTATACTCTCACCTTTTGAAAATAAAAACTGACGCAAAACTTAACAAGTGCCTGCCCAACAGTCTCACGAATACTATAAAAGAATTGTTTTTGTCAGAAAAATAAAAGGCTGGAATTACAAGGGAGAGTTTCAAAGTGCATAGAAATACTATCTGATTAGTAAATACCAGGTTGTGCATCAATGCCAATGTCTCCTACACACCAAAAAGTTTTGAATTGTTGCCTGAAGAGAAGGGAAGACCAATCTGTAATTTATTTTATGTTGCTTCTTCTTGTGTTCGTTTTGTGAGGTGTTTGTTATCCGAATATGTGTTTGTTATCTGAATTGTTCGTAGTCTGAAATGTTCAGTAACCGATCACCCACTGTGTATGTGTGAGTGAGGAAAAGATTTTACCAATAAACACAAAGAAATAACAACGAAATTATTTATTCACTGTGTACAACTTTCACTAAGTATTAATACAAGTTTGTCACAGCATATCACAACCTTCTCTAAACTCCATGCCCAAAACTTAATACCTCTTTCTCTAAACTGTTGCCAGCCCTCCTCTGTGGTTATCTTCTTGTGCCACACATATAAATAATTTTCACCACTTTCTAAAATTTGTCATATTATTCTACCTCTTCCCAAATTAATTTAATATAAAAATGGAGATCTTCTTGCATCTTCTTCAAATTAGAATTGAAAAAATATTGATATGCTTTGTGTACAAGTATTACTAATTTCATCAAGTACTCAATCATAATTCTCCAATGATGTATTTAAATCCACAATCAAAACAAAAGAACAACATTGTTTTGATCTATACACACATATACAGAAATATATTATATTTACAATATATATATATATATATATACACACACATTACAAATAACAAAATAAAAGTACATATGTACTCATTTTAAATTATTAAATGGATTGTATTCTGTTGTTCAAAGAACTGTAGATAATATTTTAATATTTAAATTGGCTGCTATGCAAATTTTTGTACAGTAGAACCTCGAAAACTCGGCCTAATGTGGACCGAAGGGTGGCCGAGTTTGTGAAAATGCCGGGTTATCGAGAATGGGGTTAAAAAAAATAAGTACGAGTGTTTCCTCAGAAAATACTGTACTGTACTTGTATGTATTGTTTACTTGAGAATATAACAGAGAATAAACTGCCCAAATACCCTTAAACAAAGGAAAACTACGTACTTTATGAAAGCATAGAGCCTTTACTACATGAAAATGAAAATTAATGAATACACTGTGTACAGTAATTTACCTGATAAGACAGACCTCAGAAAAATACTTTATGAGAGCTTTTATACTTTTATAAAGCTGTCTATAATGAAAATTAATTAACTAAGGATTTTTTTGACCTGCCAGGGTGTGGCCGAGTTATCCGGAGTGCCGGGTTATCGAGAGCCAAGTTTTCGAGGTTCTACTGTATTATCAATGTTAAAATATTTAATACAAATTCATTGCCATAAAAATTAGCATACCAAGAAAAAATTGTCATATCACTGCAAAACTTGGCATGCAGATAAGTCTTAAACAGATATAGAGATGATTAGAGTTATAGCATAAAGGTTCATTGCATAATGCCAGCATAGGGCATTAAAGTGCATCATCCCCTTGGCCTATAAAAAATTGTGCAAAGGCATCATGTCTGTAGTTTACCTCTTGCAGAGGGACAATGTATCACTAGAGATGCCTTTACATCACAATCAAAAATCATATGAACAACTAACCAAGTTTGAGAGGTAAAGGATCATTAGGTTGAAAGAAGCTGGAAGGTCATCTAACCAAATAGCCTGTCACCTAGGCCATTCTGACAATACTGCGAGGTTTTGGGGTTAGTGAATGAAAGAAAGCTCACAAATATGGCACCCAGACTCAGGATGCTCTCAGCAGATCACTAGCTGAGAAGACCACCTGGTCTTCCAACAAGAATGTACACAGCCAATTGTATCATTGTCCACCATCCAGACACAGGTGGTGACATCATTACAGGTCCCTGTGCTTGTCCACACCATTTTAAGGTACCTGGGTAAGGAGCATTTGGTATCACATTATGTGATACCAAATGCTCCTTACCCAGGTACCTTATGTGTGCTGCCATTTACTTTCATTTTGCATGGTGTCACTCCCAACAGGACTGGACCACAATGAAATAGAACTGGGTCATCTACAGCTATGAATCCAGATTCAATTTGGGCACTGATCACAGCTGTGTTTGCATCTAGAGGCTCCATGGTAAATGCCTCAATCCTGCCTATACTTTGGAGCAGCACATCCCACAGCTGATGTGATGGTCTGGGGTGCCATCACATACAACAGCTGGTCATCTCTAGTAGTGATTCAAAGGACCATAACAGCCCAGTGGTATGTTAGTGACACCATGCAGCCACATGTGTTGCCTATCATAGCAGGCTCCCAAGAGCCATTTTCAAACAGTGTAATGCTCAACCACACAAGAGTGTCACAGGACTACCTCCACCACATTGCCACACTTTCCTGGCCTGCCCGGTCCCAATTTGTCACCAATTGAACAATGTCTGGGATCACTTGGGATGCCAAGTTGGATAGACTATGAGTCTGGCTGATCTAGAAGACCACTTACAGCAATTGTGAACTGAGATGCCACAGGACACCATATGGCACCTGTATGCCTCCGTGCCCACACATATTACATCAAGTATTTACACTACAGGTAACCCAACAGCATACTAGAACCTCCTTTCATTTGTAGTTTTTCTTGCAATAAATAAGTTCAAATGTTGCTGCACTAATTTTTATGGCAATGAGTGTACAGTACATCAAATTTATCTATTTACTGTAAATAAAATTTTAAATATTACTTAATTTTACACAGAACTGAAATAACAACTTACCTATATATAATTCTCCTTCTCCATAATCTATTTTTAAATTTTCTTCATTTAATACTTGAACTTCAGTATCAACAAGGCATTCTCCCAGTTGAGTAACTTTGTTTATACACCTAAACATTGAAATACAACTTACATAAAGCATTTAAAATTATTATTAAACAAAGAGCAATAATTTCTATAATCTCACATTAAATCTTCAGGCAAAATTTCACAATATGTTGACCAGCATGATACTTCAGTGATCCCATATAAATTAAAAAATCTAGTTGAGTTATTTTTGGATTTCCACTTATTAATACTACTAGGTAAAGGGCATTCTTCTCCACCAAATGCAAGAATACGAAGTAATGATGATTCTGATAAAATTGATTCTTTTAAAACTTCTATTCCAAAATTGCTCACTAATGTTGGAGTAGCCTGAAATATTAATAACTTATAAAAATATTATATTTAAGTAATTATTATTAAATTATTAATACAAAAATATTATTAATGTTTTTGTTTTATTCTTCAATAAATATTTTATCAAAAAATGTTCAGTAATATTTAGATCTTCATCTAAATGTTATTAAAAACAATACATTTGCCTTAAGATGCAATAAATTACTTCAGGGGTCTACAAATCAAACATTCATACTTCTGACAATCTTTACATTACAATTTCAAACTTTGTCTCCTTTTAACTTAATCTAATTAAAGAGATAATTTATTTAAAAGTATTTAAACATTTTTTTTGTTTTTTTATATTTAGTTTTGTTATTATTAATGATGTAACAAAATTAAATATAAAAAACAAAAAGATTTTCTTATTAATCTTATTGTAGAGTTTTACTTAATTTTAAACAGCAAATATTTTTGGTTTCTGAAATTATTTTCAGGTTCAGGTTATATAAAAACAAGAATAAATTTTAAACTGAAATTCAATTTTATTAAATTTTCAATGTTAAATGGAATAAATCAAAAAACAAAACACCTTAATTTGCTGAGAAAAAATTTTAATGTAAAGCTAACGTTTTCAGCCAAATCAGTTGGCCATCGTCAGGCTAAGAACATTCGAATATAAATAAAATAGAACAAAAATTTAAATNCATATATTCTTAAAAAAAAAAAAAAGTATGTTTTGACTCTCTTGTTATTCTTTCTCATGCAACTGTTCTGGCAACACAATAAGCATTCCTTAATTTATTCCTGAAATCTTTACATTATGTAGAGTATTCTTTTCTATAATCTTTGAAACTATTCTTCAGAATGAATTTAAACAAGTAGTGCTTGACTTGCACTAAAATGATTACACAGACATTCCTTTTTTCATAGATAATGGAACTACTCAAAGAGACATTCTTCTATGGCTAATCTTCAATCCTGATGTTTACAGCTTTTTCCAATTTCTTTTTGATGATTGGATTTCTGACAATGTTCACAATTTTTATTCTTTGAAAGTAAGACAATGGTATTACATTTCTTATCTTTGTTTTTCTTAAAAAATAGTTGATTCATTTATGGCAAAAAGAGCAAGCAGCTATAACTAATGATTCTTCTGCAATTGATCTAGAATTTTAATTTTGGCTTTGAAAGAGATCACTTTCTTTGGCCTTTTTGATATCTTGCCACTAGTGTCTTTTTGTTTAAATGATATCCCAATTTTTAGGGATAAAAAAAATCAAAATCCGCTTATAAAACAATGCTCATATTCACAAAGCATATTACTTGTAATACAAAACACAATATTTGTTACTCACATAAATTTTAAAATAACTAGAGAAACTGAAATAGTATACCCTAGCATGTTATAACAGTTGACAACATAAATTGCATTAAAAAATAAAAGCATTACAGACCATTTCATATATCTTGGCTGGACAATGTGTAGTATTCAGGCCTCTGAAAGTTTTATTGAACCTCTTTTTGGTAACATACAATGAATAACCTTACATTGGATTTGTCAATCTGTTCCTTTCACTACATAAATAGACTGGTCCCTGCTATTGCACATTTGTAAAATTCTGTCAAGATTAATTGTGGCAAAAATTAAGCTTAATAGCAATTTTTTGATGTTATGTTCCCAATTCAGTCAAAAGTGATGCAATCAGATGTGTCATCTCTGGACAAGGAAGCAAGTCCGTGGGGAAAATATAATCACTTCCTGCTATCGTGGTTCAGAGTTAAATTTTAGCAAAATTATTTAAGTAAATTACATAAATTTTTTCTAGTTAGCCCAGTCTAGTTATGCTGAATTTTGTTTCTTAATCTTTACTCCATCCTGAAATATTAAACAAAATGGATGCCAACATAAACTATACATATGAAAATTTTTCGTGTTTTATTGCCTGTTTTGGGTTCAGGAGGTCTCAAAATGTGGAGATTTGCAAAAACTTGGAGGGTCAAATCTGACACAATTTCAATACTTTGTTATGTATATGTTACTGTGAAAGACCGAAATTAGAGAATGTCGATATTTTCCGGTGAATGTTGACACATACAAAATATGTAGGTGAAAGTCCGAATATTTGGTTATATTATTATACATTCGAACAATTGCCGGTATATGTCGACAAGCACAGATAAGCTTTGGTGGAGGTGNTTACTGTGAAAGACCGAAATTAGAGAATGTCGATATTTTCCGGTGAATGTTGACACATACAAAATATGTAGGTGAAAGTCCGAATATTTGGTTATATTATTATACATTCGAACAATTGCCGGTATATGTCGACAAGCACAGATAAGCTTTGGTGGAGGTCGAAACGACACCCGAGAAGCCAATGTCGACAAAGAGGCGACAGTCTATCGCCAAATATTTTGTGGATAGCCGGAGGTAGGACACGGTCATACCTGTTTTTCCGGCAATGGTTTGGTGGAAACTGCTCACTTTGTCACTGGATGGCGTTTTTGTTCTTTTGATCCCGTGAGGTGGGGATCGGTTTGTCAGGTCGAGTGGCGGAGGATGAGAAAGGTCGTCGGTAAGGCATCGGCGATATCTGAATAAAAGACACCATTAACAGATCAGTTCATAATCACTTAATAACGTAATCAGTTTGTAATTTGTAAAGAAAAGTTACTTTCCATAGATGAGATTTCTTCTCAAGAAATATCGCTAAGAGAAGCAGCTGCAGCTAATTCGAAAAGTGGAGGGCAAGGCTATACACGCTGTCATTGCAAAAAAAGTGTTCCACGAATAAATGCAGTTGTAAAAGCAAAGGACTCTTGTGCAATTCAAAGTGCCATAACAGTTTAAGTTGTTGCAATAAATAAGATTGTATAACGTTAATCACATAATTTTTGTGTAAGTTTATTATTGTATTATTTTCTTTAATGGTTAAGAATGTACTGTTCGTTTTAGGTTCAACAATTTATTTACATGCGCTGTTACTTAAGCTTTCTCCTATTTTGACATATTAAAAAGTTGCATTTTTGTCTTAACGTAATAAAAATATTTTTATTAAACATTCACCATCAGTGCATGCTGAATGTCAACATTTGCCGGTGTAAGTGAGAAATAATGATATTTAGCAAATATTTCGTACATACACGAAAGGACTGTGTGAATGTTGACATTCGCTAGATATCGGTCATTCACAGTAACATATATACATAACAGCTGGAAAAGTAAAGGGCAAAAAGTGTAATCTCAGATTCTTTTGTTGAGGAAAATTGAAGTCTATTACAGTGCCATCTATTACTGTAATAAACTACATATTTATAAGCTACAATATATCTACACCATTATCTGAACCAATTTGCTACAATGATAAATGTACTGAAATCTCAGAAACTAATGAAATGCTTGAGTGCCAAATTATTACAAAGAGTAATTTAAATTATTTCAAGAAATTACAAGTTATTTGAAGATTTTTTATACTGATTTACATTGAGAATTAAAACAATATAATTTAATGTTATTTAATTTTTTGACTTTGTATGCTAACAATAAATCCAAAATAATAATTTGCATTTCATTTGTTTGCCAGCAAGAATTTGCATCTGTTCTAAAATTTTTTCCTCCCACTTACAAAAAACAGTATAAAAGTTCATATAACATAACATTAAAACAAATACAAATCATACTCATAGTTTTCAGTCATGATTATAAAAAAAAGTATAGTAAGACCCCACTTAACATGCATTCCTAGACAACGAAGTGCTAAACAAAACAGCATTAAACAAGGTCATTTTAACACACAGTAAATAGGGAAAGGGGAACATGCAACCAAAAATAAACAATTTTACTTTAATTTTAACTTATTTTTATATTAATTTGTACAATAATATATGTTAAATAACACACAAACATGCACACAGAAATGTAAAGTTCATTTTTTGTGACGAAGGTCCTGACTTTTCTGAAATTCTTGTTCTTTTGCAATAAAGTCATGAAGTCATGAATTTGTTGCTTTTTTCTTTCCTTAAGCAAGTGTCGGTAGCAGAAGATTGCATCCAAAACACCTCGTTTTGCTTTTGCACTCCTTTCAAAATCTGGATCATTTGCTGCAATTTGATCGACAATTTTGGTTATCTTACCAAACTTTTACTAAGGAAATCTGTACAGAAATTTTTTGGGTTCTTCATTTTCAGAATCTCTATTTTCCAGTTCCATGTGAATTCCATGTTCTGCCAGTTCTTGAAGGCATCATTGGTAAGGCTCTCACCAGAAACCTGCTGTAACTGCTCAATATCCTGCTCGTCTATATCTCCTAGTCCTGCTATATTGATTAGGTTGAGTTTGATCAACCTAACAATACAGCGATAGGCTCTTCTCGTTGAGAATTCTTGGATACCTTCAGCCATAACTTCCACACTTCGTTTGTGCATTTATCGGTTAATTCTTGTCAAGCAAAGTCGATATTTCCTATGGCATCCATGAAGATATATTTTTTCCAAAACTGCATCAAACAACATTAGATTTAAAGAAAGTACACCTTTTTGCCACCTTTTGCTGATTGGTTTGTGTTCGCAAATAATCATATTATTTACGAATAAATAAAATGCCACGATAATTTAAATCAAAGTAAATTTTGAGCTTCTTTTAGGCTTCAAGCAGACCGCATTATATCAAATCAGCATTAAGCACGGTCTTACTATACAAGTAATAAATGTGAAATGACTTAAAAATTTAAAAAATTAATCATTACTTATATAGATTGATGATTGATGTTTGTCATTAGATCATTAGTTTTCTATCATTATTCAGATTAAATTTTATCAAAAATTGCTATTGATGTTAATGCCTATGTAACAGGTAATGGAGATAAAACCTATGAAAGACTAAATGTTTAATATAAAATTCTTCTTCAGCTACTGCTACTCTCTAATGTTTGTTTCTTATTAATCTGGTAAGCAATTTTAATAAGAAAGAGTTAATTTGTACAGTTCTAAAATTATGGTTATCTATTATAAGAACCAAAGATCAGTAGTATATTAGAAAAGCAACACATTTCATCTGATTAGAAATTATCTTACTTTAATGCAAAATCTTATTGTCAAATTATAAGTGTAAAACAAAAATAAAAAATACAATAATTAATTCCCTGTACTATAAAAATTAGTATTTTTTTATTTTATCAACATTTATTAATTAATTTATGTTACATTTTAATATATATACCTGCAATATTGTAATATTTTGTTTTTTTAATATCAGAGAAAGTTTCTTTGGCATAGCCTTAATTTTTTCTGGTACAAAAACAATTGAAGCTCCAGATGTAAGAGCTAAGAATATTTCTACAACACTAGGATCAAAAGTTAAAGGAGCCAATTGTATAATGTTATCTTCAGGGTGAACTTCGAATATTGATCTATAAAATAAAATATAAATATATAAATAAATACATCTTTAATAAAATGTATTTATTTTACAAAAAATTAATATTAATTTGTTCATAATTTATGCTCAAATTCATTTATAAAGTTAGTATTCCTATCTGCAATTGTTATATAAATGTACCGGGTACCTACATAGAACGACCAAAAAATCAATTAATCATATTTTGTTGTGTGTCTTATGAATATGAATTGTAAAGTCCCAAGAATATGAATTGTAAATTTCCCTATGGTCAATGATTGTTTCAATTATGAATATGAATCATTAACAAATTCAGTTGTTATTTATGTTTTAAATACAAAATATCTCATTTTGAACAACTGCTGTGACATTTTCTCTCTCTAGTGAGAACTGAATACATGGAAACATACTACAGTGGTACCTAATTAACCTGAATTGGTTGGGGAAAAAATTGGACTTTATGTTAAAAAGTTTCAAGGAATTTGAGTTAACCAGTTTGATTTAACATGTTTGGGAATAACTGGGAAAAAAAATGACTTCAAGTAAATGCAACTTTGAGTTATCCTGGTTTGAATTAACTAGGTTCCACTGTATTAATATGATTGAAGAAAATACCCAAGTCACTTTACTACATTGTTACCCCATTAAAATAACATTCAAATGTCTATTATATATCAAAAAACAAGGTATGAGATTGCAAAAGATCTATGAAACATATATTCTAATTGCCTCATAATAAGTTTTGTTATAAAGGCTGACAACAATGAGCTCACTAGAATACCAGACTGCTGTAGTTAAAAGCTAAATATTGTGCTCTGAAATGACATTGTTTAATTTCAGTAATGGAGCACTTATATACTGGAGTAAAGTATTCTAGAATGAAACATTTTACCACTAATGAATTAGAAGTAGAAGTGCTATTTTTCTGATGGCATAAAAATGTGGCTACAATATTGCCACTTCATGTATTATGTGCAGTGTCTCATTACTCTTCTACCATATCTTGTAGAACTATCCATATGTGAAAATAGAAAGTTTTGCAAGTATGGAACTTGTGTATGAGAAAAATTAAAGAAGTTTTACACATCATAATTATTTATAAAATGTTAAAAATACAAGATGGAAATTATTAATAGATACTATACTAATTAAGAGAAACCAAACTATACTTATGACTGGCTGTATGTTGGTGATATTGTGAAATAAAAGTTTATAATAGCAAGATACGAATTGTTTGATGAATATTATTCTTGAAAATAATTGATAAATAGTTTTTCTAGTATTAAAATCCTTTTATTTTTCTCTTTAAATCTTTTCTCAATCTGCTCTTCAAATGCCAAGTAAACTCAATATTAAAATCAATAATTTTATTGACTGACTTGCTAAAATTATAAAAAATAAATAAATTTTTACCTTAAATGTAAAACATTAGGAACAATGCATCTATGAGGTACAAATACCACTTTTGGTTGACCAGTTGTTCCAGATGTTTGTATCATATATGCCAATGCTTTATCAGTTAAATCACTACTATTTTTGCTTAGTAAAGTATCATTTTTGTTTTCATCATTTGTAGATAATTTCAGTAAAATAATTTTATTAAATTCAGAAAATAATTCATCTACTACAATTAAATTCAACTTTTTCTGTCTTCTTAAAATCTGAAATAAAAAACTGTAAATCAGTTACAATCTCTAAACCAATCACCAGGATATTACTGGTGTAGAATTCAATAAATAAATAAGTAATTACCTAAAGCCAGCAATAATTCTCTTCAAAGAAAAGAATTATTACTGGTTTTAGGTAATTGCTGGTTCTTGAGCATGCGCATATCTTCAAGACGTACAATTTTTAAATTTTTGGAATGGGCATTCTCTTACAAGCATTGCAATGTATGGAAACCTGATGGTGACCATTAAAAATGGAAGAAAATGTTCGTTTTGAAGAGAATTATTGCTGGTTTTAGGTAATTAATTATTTATTTATTGAATCTCTAAACTATCTTAACAAAATAAACATCCTTAAACTAACAAATTTATTTATTCAACCAAACATTATCTCTGCAGCCATCATCAGGATATCATATAATGGAATATTCAAACATTATATATATAAACTGAATTACAATATTCAAATTTTGAATTAAATATTGAAACATTTTTAATTATGTTATTTTTAGAATATTATCAATAATGATATAAATTGTAAGAAGCAGAAATAAATTCACTAAAATATTTTTAAAAATCTATTAAAATACAAAACATGATCATTTAAGAAGAGAATATTAAAGTATTTCAAAAGTCAACTAACTGACACCTAAGGATTGTTTAAATGTTTAAAAATTAAAATGCAGTGAGGTTCGAAAGTTAGAAATTTTTAAAGGATTGAACTGTTTTTGTGCTTTTTTGTGCATACATTCCTGATGAGGATCTCTAAAAGATGGCCGAAAACATTTGAACATTAAAATTTCTTTGTTTATTATGTGCTGGAAGTTGCATTTAGGTGTTAATTGATTATAAAGTTCCAGTTTAAGTGTGCCATTTTTTATTTTATTTTAGAAGTACAAAGTATATGACAGGGGTGGCCAACCTGCGGCTCGCGAGCCACATGCGGCTCTTTGAAGGATTATTTGTGGCTCTCGATAAATGTATCCGAGTTCCCTTTTCATTTTTGTGTTATTATATTTTAAAAAATTACTATCATTCCGTATGTGTTTCAAAATGTCTTTTAAATTACTAACAACAAATATGAAAGACTAAGTGCAACGTTGTAACAAATTTCATTTCCGTCCAAGTTAAGAATGATATGATTCATCGAAAACTGCGCGAACGAACATAAACAGTGGCGTAATCATCCGACTCCAGACCGATTTTGAATTTGTAAACTGTCATTGCAATGGACAGTTGACATTGTGCTCTGGAGGAAACAATTTGTATCACTCTTGCTATGGATATAATTTGTAATCTGGAAATTTTTGCATACCTTTTTAATACATATTTAATTGCAGCTCGCAAAAAATTTCAAATTTTGAAAAATGGCTCGGACTATCAAGGAGCTTGGCCACCCTGGGTATATGATAAAATCAGAATAAAATTAGTTACTATATTTATTGGTGATATAAAACATTCTGTAGTTACCATACTTTATGGTATATTAGACACAACTTTTGTAAAATAAAAAAAATCACCTAGCATCTTATATGTGAAGACCAATGAATTCATTGGTCTTCACATATAAGATGGTCTGTGATCTCCCACAGATCAATGAATTCTGTAAATGGCCTTTAGTAGGCTATGGCTAGCCCCTACCTAGCCCAACTCTAAAATAATATTTTTGTATTGTTAATTTTATTGTTTAATTAAATATATTATTATTATTACTACTTTTTTAAAACCATAATACAGTAATACTCCAAGTTACATAACACGTGACTTATATAAATTCACAGTTACATAAAATGTAAATCTCAAAAACTGGAAAAAAATCTGAGTAGAGTAACATGTAATTTTACAAAGAATTAGTCTATTTCAAACATTCGTGCATTCATTCTCTCTCACTCTTCTTTCTTTCTTTTGCACTGTACCAATTTGTTACTTTATTGCTTTGCTAATCCTTTACTTTTCAGTCAAATTGTAAGCACGTACACAAGCATACCAGGCACTCTTTCTCATAAACAAGATTCTTCTACAGTACTCAATGAAGGTCAAGCAGCAAAACCAATCATATCTTCATTGCTTGTTTTTCTATATGTATTGTTTCATATCATTAGAGTAGTTTGTCTTGAGTTGTTTGTTTAATACACAACCTATTTACCACAGCTACACTTACATAGTGTCTGTTGTTTATTTACATTACTGTACCATTAAAATGCAATCAAAATGACAAACCGAATTCATTGGTAATAAACCAAAAAAACAAAGCTCTGCAATTACTTTAGAAGAAAAATTAAAAATAATTCACATGTATGAAGACAGGAAGACGATAACAACAATAGCTGGGAAAAAATAATATTTCAGATTATTTTTGTTTCTTTCTTTGTTTCTTTTATATATGTACTTTGTATTTCTAAAAAAATAATAAATAATATATGTACAGTACACATAATAAATACACTACTGAGTTATTAATTATGTTGTTAACTTAAGCAATTTACAAATTCGACTTACATAAAATTTGAGTTTAGTAAAAGTCTACAGTCCACATTACTTAAGTAACTCTGGGTATTACTGTATAGTAAGAAAAATTGGGGCCAACTATCAAAGGCACAGAATAGTTTACATACACTAGGCCTTAATTTTTTTTTCCAAAATATTCTATGCTGTAAAATATGTAAGCAGAAAAAAAAATAATAATAGCAATTATTTTTATGAAGATACTGTATTTACTCTCATATAAGATGATCTCAAATATATAAGGTGTGACTTTAAAGATCAAAATAAAGAAAATTAGATTTATTAATACAATACTAATTTTATTTCATGTAATCACAAATAAAATATCAAATGTATGTAAATGTATGTAAATGCATACATTGTCCACAAAAATTACTGGCATTTTAAACTTTAAGGAAAAATCTAAAATTGACAACATAATTTGTTCATGTAAAGCTGGACAATCAGGAACTTTTTTGCCAATTCTTAACAATCGAATCCACTCTCCATCAATTACACTTATGAGTTTCTCCAAATTCTTATTTCTGAATAATCATCTGTTTTCATGTGAGAATGGATTAAAACGTATATCAGGTTTTTGTGTGATTTTGGAATTTCAATTTTGAATTCAATTCAAAAGCTTTGCTTTTCCTATTGCTATTTATCGTTACTCCTGACATTACACAAGAACTATTAAAATGACCCAGATAAAATACTTTTGAGCATCCAGTAAAAAATGTGAATATGTGGTTCATAAAAATTATTGCAAAAATGCAAAGTATCCTTCATTCATGCATATAGGACGACTTAGGTTTTTGAAGCAGTGAAAAATGAATAGAAACTTTGTCTTATATGCGAGTAAATATGGTAATTTAAACAAAATCAAATCACTTCTTCAGGGTGTAAAATTTAATACGATAATTTTTCAACAAATAACCAAAAGTTATCTGTGTTTGAAAGATAATTTGAGAGGGAATGCGTGTTATATGCTGATTTTAAATTCCAATCACTAACTAAAACAAAAGACCATTAACAGTTCAAACAAATATTAAAATCATTGATGATGTACTAAAATTGAAATATTAAAACAAGCAAAACTGGTAATGAAATCTTGCTTAAAATTATAAGGTTATAACATTTTTAACAATATTAAACTGAAAATAATTTTAGTATCAATAATAAAATTATATTCTGTTTAAGTTTTTCCACATTTATTTTATTATTATTATTAGACAAAAAAAATTAGTCATAAAATAAAAAATTATATTATATTTATTTATTTTTACACTTAACATACATAACTGGGACAGTTCATAAACATAAACAATTGAATTATTGGGGCAGCCAGTGAGTACAGTAGTGATGTCTTTACTAGCATGTGGTCAGATTGAAAGTTATTTACAGTAAATTTTAAATTTTATACAAATGTTAGTTTAATTAATGTAAAACAGAGTTTTTACATTACAGAGTTTAACAAATAAAGCAAAAAGTAATGTCATCTTTAGTTTTGATTTCATTAATTATTATTTTGAATTAAATTTAATTCAAAAATTATTGTATTTATTAGTTAATGTTAGTATAACATAACAGTCTAATAGAATTGTACATTTTGATGCAAGAAAAACTATCTCCATTAATTCATGATTGTTGTTTTGACATAAATGTTTCTTAATGTCAATGTTATTGTGACAGTTGTGTGTTACAAGTCATCACAAAATGAAACAAAGTGGGTCAGACTGAATCCACATTATAGTATCAATCAGTATATTTAAGTTTTAAAACATTTTGTGGCTTTAAAAATAATGTTAGTTAAGTGAAATTATAAATTTGAAAGAACTCAAATAATCAACCATTGATAAACTTTGTTTTCCTCTCACAATTACACTTCAAACCCACCATTTAAGGAAGAGTGTTAATGAACTAGTCTAAAAATAAAAACAAAGTGCAAAAAATTATAAATTATTGTAATTTAAATAGTACTATATATCATTTTTTGGTTTTGATTGAGTAACAAAACAGTTAATTTTCAATTCAATTTCTTCCTCTTTATTAATATAAAATTGGAAAAATTTATTAAAAAATAAATTTAATAAATTTATATTTTTGTGACAGATTACATTATTTATTAATGAATTTATTTTTATTAAAAATAATTACTTTCTCCTTCTTACAAAAGTCATAGTTTTATGGTTGCATATTAACAAATGTAGGATAAATTATTATTATATAAAATGGGTAAATTATTTCTATATAATAAAATGTAATTATTATATACAGTCTTAAAAATAATTTATCCTGTATATTATACATAAATAATAAATTTATTTATGATATAATAAAGATACATTCTTTTTATATAATAAAATATCTTATTTTAAACCTTAATACTTTAGTGATTTTAAAAAGATAAAATCTCAATTAAAAAAATATAACTAATTATTTTTAATTAGTTGTATTTTTTCTAATTAACAATTTTATGGCTAGTGACCAGTATGGTTATATCTATAATTAATTAATTAATTAAAACTTCTGGAAGCAAAAACCAAATGGAAGACTTGGTAGTGTTACTAGCAATGCATTTGCACAGTAAGCAGAGGTTGCTAGTCCCGCTTCATGCCAATTCTTTTCTTCCAGAATACTCTAAATTAAAATTACCATAAAATGTCAGAATAACCACCTACCTCTAGGCAAATTAATTTGTATTTAATTATTTATGAGCCTTAAAATAGATTAATGGATAAATTGGTAGATTGTTTGGTGATACAAATAAATGAAGTTGTGTATTATATATAATTAAAAATTTTAGTTTACAAAATGTGTCAGATAATCATTAATAAATAGTATATCCTTTAATGTGGAAGAATGACTCATTAAACATTGCTTTTACAATAATACCTTTTTCACACTAATTTTCAAGCCAGCTTAACTAAGTCAACTCAAGGTATGCAATGTAAACAAAACTGACTTAATATTAAACCAGTTAACAGTTAACTATCAACAACTAGCTCAAATTTCTTTCTCAAACAAGCTTAAGACACTTCAAGCTTTCCCCAAGGTCTGCAACAAATTAAAAAAAAAAAGGCAGAAGATATCCAAATGTGCAACATTTTTCTTTATAGATAAGTATATGCTGCTTTAATTTAAATACTTTGAACAACAGAAGCATTGAATAGCCTCTGAGCACGGATACGGCAAGCTCATACGCAAGTTAATACATGGATACCAAAACCCAGCTCAAGACCTACCAGAAAGGGAGGAATGATAGGATATGGATAAGATCATTCCAGTCACTTGAAATCTATAAATTAGAAAGCTGTATGGCGAGATAGCTAAAAAGAACCGCATATGTATTGCCTACTGAAGATGCACTTCGATATTTAACATCCTATTCAATGGAAAAGATCAACCAGATAAAGATAAGCTGTCAGGGGTCTACAGCATACCGATTATGGATCGCAGATGTGATAGAAACCTTGTCTATATGGGCTCCACCAAACGATCCTTAGAGATTAGACTGAAAGAACACACTGTGGATATTCAGAAGCAAAGGAACACAACGGCTCTGGCAATTTATGCATCTGATCCAAATATAGACCCCGAATTTAAGAAAGCCAAAATTATCCATATCGCATGGCACATACACCATATAAAGTGGTTAGAGGCTGCCAGCATATACTTAGCTAGCCTTAGGGATAATCAATGCATTAACCATAAAAAGATTATGCTATCAGTAGCTTGGCAGGTGCTTATGAACAGTAATTTATGATAGCCATATTGAAATCAACTGCGCATGACAAACAGACGTAAACGGGAAGCGTGCATTCGAACACACATTTTCGAATCTGATGTTTTACAAGTTGCATTTCCATCAGAGATTCAAAAATACCTGAAGAAGAACCATCATTGGGGTTCAAAAACATTAGTATAGAGCTATTTTTGTTGGTTATGATTTTATAGAAGGAGAATGCACTGGTAACAGGTTAGAAAGAGTTTTTGTTAACAGAAGCATACATTTCGGAACATCCATTGTTTTCATAGTTGAAATAACAAAATTAATGTCATATTGCCAACAACAATAGATAATTGACAAGACTATCTCTTGTTTATAAAATTGTACTGCCGTTTTATGTTACCAGCATAGAGGTACGAAGGAGTACATGTCAAGAGTTGATATTTGGCACAGAGTATTAGGTGCCCAAATCATTTGCACATAAAAAAATCCAGACTTGTAGGTAGTCAGGGGACTGAGAACAGAGTCAAAATAAAATACAAAATGGCAACCCTCTTCTACAAACAGGCAAAACAGGCACCTCACCCCACCAAAGTCAGACAGAGGAGAGTACCACCCACAGTCATTCTAAGAAGTGAACTCTGAACTTAGGACCAAACACGTAGTTTCTACTATGTTAAATAAAATTTGTAATCTAATTTTGTAAATTTGGGAGTGCTTCAAATATGACATTAAAACAGGGTTTCATTACAAGTGGGTTTTTTTTAACATTATCTAGTTCTGTATAGTAAAATCGTGGGACCGATAAAAATTTGATGTTATATTAGGGTTGTCATTACATTCGATAATGTTATAATCAGGTTAAACTGTATATTGTTAGTGCAAAATAAAAAAATAATTTCAGACGATACAATAGCCATGATTATTTTTTTTCAAAAACAGGAAATTTTCGTTATGCATCGAGAAAAATTCAACCCGGGCCTACATGCAATGGAGAGAAATTTCGAAACTGGATAGGTTAATTTCATCATGGTTGGCAAAGTTTGAACGATTGTGCCCAAAAGCAGTGATACCAAAGAAGATTGGAGAATGAGAACGAAGCCCGCCTTCAGCATCAAAGTGATTCCACTTAGTAGTGAGTCTCTGAGACATAGTCTTGTCCCAAATACAGTTTTGTCGTTTTACTTGTTTTAATAATAATAAATACTGAATAAAATATCTATCTGACATAATTATTTAAAATTGATATTTTAATCTGAAATTATGCAAAATAAATTAGTTTGCAATGGTTTATTGAAAATAAATAATATTTTAATTTTATTTAAAACTAGCTTACCCGTCGCGCATTGCTGCGATCTCAGAAGAAAGGAAATTCAAGCAAACTCGTTATGATAAAATTCAATTTACATTTTATTATTTTTATTGAAACTTATTATTATTATTCATTTTCATCGGGAAAACATTTCAAAGTGTCGTTTCAATTCTATTTATTTATTGGAGTGTTTGTGGATACACGATATTTTTTGTTTTTCCGTCTGGTGCGTACACGAATAAATCAGAAGGTTTTTCGACGCGTGAGCCGGCCACATACAGTTGTCCATGCGAGAAGCACGGATTCTCCAAATTTAGCCCACACACTCGCTGCGATTGTCAGAAGTGCGATATTCCCCATTTTTATATATATTTTTAAATCCTTTATAATTTTAATTATTTAATTGCTCCTTCCTCTCTTCCTTGGCATGTTGTGAAATTTCTGATAGTTGGATAATAAACCGTTTTATTGTAATTTGTCTTTTTAAATTATTAGATGATATTAAAATTTGGAAAAGGGGATCCCTAGATCGGTAAAATAGGCGAATTTCCTTCTACAACTTCGGTTGTTGTTCGGTATACAGTTAAAGTTTTAACAAAGTTCGAGCGAATACGTAATTAGCAAAAAAAAGTTGAAATAAAGTGATTAAACAAACATTATTACGAATATCGTAAATAACAGTTCACAAATGCATATATAGAAATATTTTTTGAAGGAGAAATGGTCTTCACAATTTGAAATTGATCAAACACACTGTGCTCAAATGCTCGTGTAAACGTGCGCCATCTATTGTAGGATAAATGTACTTCGCGGGAGTGTATTAAAAAACTTTCCAAAGTTTTATGGCAATTGTACTATGCCACAAACCTTCGCTGGAGTATATTAAACAACTTCCCAAAGTTTCACGGCAATCAGATAAACGGTGTGGTAATGCATGAAGGACAGACAGACACACACACACACACACATACATTCATTTTAATATATATAGATGTAACATAATGTATAATTGCTAGAAGACAATGTGAAATAAGCCACTTATTTCTCAATGTGAATGAGTAGTTAACCCTGTTAGCAGTAATTCAACTTTAATCCTGCATAATTATTAAGCCAGCTTAAAAATTACAGTGTAAAAGAGGTATTATATTGACATGAAGTAACATTAATGTCAAATGGTAATGGTGAATTAATGGAGAAAGTTTTTCTTGCACCAAAACAGTTGCATCAAAATGTACTAGACCAGCACTCTACCTACCTATTTTTATAAAAATTATTTTATATTAATTTTTAATAGTTAGCCAAACTATTGTTCAAATAATCCAGAAATTAATATGATAATTATAAAACAGGAGTTACCAAACTACGGCCTGCGGCAGTTCGACCAGTCCATTGATGTACTGTGCCACAAAGAAGCTAAAATGTAATTATTTATATGGAAATATCATAGGATACGCATTGGTTACAGGTTCTGTAAGTCAGATTTAATGTATGGAAATATCATAGATAGTAGATAAACTTACTATGTAAAAAAATTTAAATAAGTGGAAGTAAAAATGCCAAAATTGGTCCAATCTGATTTTTGCATCTGACAGTAATATAACTTTTAGATAAATCAGTGAAATAAAAAATTTGGCAGCTTTTTGCGACTTTGGATATCAGAGCGCTTTTTGTATAAGTATCTGCAATGAAGTTTCTAAGGAAAGCAATTACCAGCTTGCTGCAGCCATCAAGTTTGTGTATTGGTAAATAAATATGTTAATTGTCTTTATTTTTTGTGTATTCAATATGCTATATTGAACAAAATTGTTATACAGCCAGCACTCGTCATTCTCTCGGTTATCTGGCCCACCGTGAAAAAGTTTGGTGACCTCTGTTACATAAATAACCAAACCCAATTATTCTATATGTCTACAATAATTTGTTAACAGAAATGAAACAGAAAAAGCAATATTCTAATGCTTGAGATGGTAACTATTAAACTGATACCAGTAATTATTTTGCTTTCAAAGGCTGCCCCAGAAATACAGGATATATCATGAGGTTAGTTATACAAAAATTTTATTTTTATTCTTGCAATTTTCTACAAGATATATGCTATTGTGGGTTATCCACCTGAAATTATAATAGTTCTTAAATGACTAACATTATGATAAACTATATAAATAATAGTTTTCTTGAAAAATGAAAATACTTACTTCAAAAACATCAGCTTCAATTAAACAGAATTTAAGAAAAATGTATTTTTTTGAATTTTTAACAAATTCCAGTGGATTTCTTAAATCAATGAAGTAAAAATATGCATTTGCTTGTAAAATTCTGAGGAAAAAAAATTTGAAAGCTTGTATTAATTAGAAAATTCTAAAACAAATAACAGAATGTAATCATTACAAAATTTTTTTTTGCCTCACTAATGTAGACTCCTCAAAAGTGAAATCACATCACAAAGGAATGAGTTTAGCCATATGCACATTGCAAAATCAGTAGAGGTGACAGACATATGCAAATAATTAAAAGAACAAACAAAGACATGCAACACAAACCTGTAAATTCAGGTATTACTGTTACTGAATAAACAGGTATACAGGCCAGTATACAGTGAGGCATATTATCAATGAGGTGATTAATAGTTGCCTGAAGTATCCCTTGCCAAGCTGCATCCACTGTGGCATTCATGTCATCTACAATATATGGCAATGGTCTCTGGTGCATCTCATATTGGACAAGATCCCACAGATTTGTGATGGGAAAGAGATCTGGCAAGGCTGCCAGCCAGGAAAGGTGTAAATTTCATTCATACTGGTAAGAGTTCAATGTGCAACATGTAGTTGGGAATTGTCTTGCTGGAACAGTGTCAGATGTGACCTGCACCAATGGCCAAACCACAGACCCACAATTTGCATGATGTATAGGTTCACTGTCAGAGTATCATAAATGTGCACCAAGGTTGTCCACTAGTTGAACATGACGCCTCCCCAAAACATAATGCTCACAGCGTTGGGCCAGTGTGATACGTTGTGAAAACAGCTGGCACATAACATTCCCTGGAATACTGTCACACCTGTCCACAGCCATCATTCATCCACGGACAGAAGTGGGATTCATCCGTAAACAATACCAATGCCATTCAGTGGTCCAGTTGCAATGACAACACCATCGTGCCAGGTGTGCAGATGTGTCAGGTGATTAATGGCAAGCCCATTGCTGGTTGCTGTGCATGCAGCCCAACTTCATGCAACCTGTTGATGAACACAGATTCACCCATTGATGGCAGCAGGTGGCTTTGGATGTCATGTGCCATTGCTAATGGGTCCCAATGGGCTGTTTTGCACATCTGCCAGTCTGTGCAGTCATGCACCAGTGCAATCCACTCCCTCTTCAGCATGTTTATATATGTTCCTGCATCCATTATGTCATAGATTACTAAATGGTACTCGCATTGTGCCAAACACACGTGGCAACTATACATATCAACAAACTGAGTCTTGTTCTCCAGCTGTTAACTGGTGGTATTCAGCTTGTTGTTGTCTCTAAGGCATTTTCTCACTTCTTCAAAAGTTCAACTGCCACAAACCAACACTGATAGCATTTATGGCTCGAGCCAGCTGCTGGTCTTTATAGACTGAAACTGGGTATGCAAACTTAATCATTTACATATATCTGTCACCTCTACTGGTCCTGCAATTTGCATGTGGCTATGTGAATTCCTTCATGGTGTTGCAATTTCACTTTTGAAGAGTGTATATTTATTATAACATTAATAACTTACTATTATTTCAAATTATATTTTTTAAACTGAATAAAAAACTGCTTTATTGTAATACATTATATAAAACATAAACATATAAGCATTTTCAGACTTCTTCATTCCATCTTTAGGGATTAAGAATTAGAACTTTAGAATAATTTTTTCTTTTTAAAAACACCAGAATTTTTAAGTTTCAGAACTTTGCAAACTTTAAACAAATTAGAACCTTTGAACTTTGAAATTAAGAACATTCAAAATTTCAAGGTTCCAGTACATTTCAAAATTCTTTAACAAATTCAAAATCCATAACACCCAACAAACAAAATTCTTATTAATGTTGCTACAGATTTTACTCTCATCCAAAGTATTTATTTAATGTAGAAGAGAATAATTTTATGATTATGATTGTAATTAGAATTATGATGACATATTATCAACTATGATGTAAAGTGATATCAGTACTCAACAACCATTACTTAACAAAAGCATTTGTGTACAATATAATTTTATAGGATAAAAAATTTTTTAAATGCATTGCACTACAAAAAAAGTTTATTTGTAATTATCTGTGAAAATTCTTTCCATTTTGTAACATGTCATTATCTGCACTCAACCTTTACATAACATTATTGCTAAACAGTCTGTTGTTAAATATTGATGTTAAAATAATTCTCTTATACACTAAATGAATATGTTAGTTGTAAAATATTGAGACAATTGTATATTTTAAAATTTTTCCTCTTCATTTTCACTTTCCTAGCTGTTATACGTAGTACGACCCAAAAGTTCGGGGACTTGGCTTAAAATTCCTTACCTTAAAAAGTTTATATTGCCAACGCATAACCACCTTTAAAGTAATCACCTTGGGCAATGATACACTTTTGCCAGCGCTCATATAACTTCTGGAAGCACTGCTGGAAGCCATTTTTTGAAACTTCCCGTAAGGCCTCCTGCGATGCTGCTCTCACCTCATCTGATGACACAAAACGGCATCCCTGCAAATGCTTTTTCATTGATGGAAACAAATAAAAATCACACAGGGCTAAGTCCGGTGAATAGGCGGGGTGTGGAAGCACATTAATTTGAGTTTTGGCAAGAAACTGTGTGACCATTTGGGACTGATGTGCAGGTGTGTTGTCATGCAGAAGGTACCAGTCTCCACTTTGCCAGATCTGTGGCCATTTATGACAAATAGATTCTCTCAAACGACATAAAACTTGTTTACTGTTCAGCCTTTGGGAATAAATTCTGAATGAACAATTCCTTGAGAATCAAAAAACACCTCCATCATGACTTTTCCTTTGCTTGGTGCATGTTAAGATCTTCCGTTAAAATATGCTGGCAACTAGTCTTTGATAAGTGAGTAGCTGCAGCGATTTTTTCAAGGTGACGATCTTTGCGAACACATTGAGAGACCAACTCAACATTTTCCTCATTCCGTGAAGTCGAAGGTCAGCCAGAGCATTCATCATCTGTGATGGATTCTTGGCCCTCTTTAAAACGACGATGCCATTTGTACACCTTTTATTTTGCCATGGTAAAATCACCGTACACCTTTCTTAGCAATTTTAAAGTCTCCATAGGTGTTGTATTTCAAAAAACTGATTATTTAATTTTAATTATATCCAACTCACGAAATAAACCATATCCAGTTCATAAGCTAGCAGAAAAATTCTTTCTACGAACGTTTTCGTCTATATGTAATAGACATCCTCAGGTATTGACGGTATCGAACTAACGGCTAGTCGAATAGAACGTTTTTGAAAGTTCCGTTTAACGACGTAATTCTATTCGACTAGCCATTAGTTCGATACCGTCAATACCTGAGGATGTCTATTACATATAGACGAAAACGTTCGTAGAAAGAATTTTTCTGCTAGCTTATGAACTGGATATGGTTTATTTTGTGAGTCTCCATAGGTGTTTTACCTAAACACTGACAAAATGGAGTTTCAAGAATGCTGCAGTGCTGTTCTTGAAACTCCATTTTTATTATGTTGCAAAACAAAGGTAACTATCACCGAAAGAAAACAACAGCACTCGTGGTTTAATCACGTGACATGGGCGAAACCAACCTGAACACATAAGAAAGGTTTGATAGAATCAATTTCATATGCTGTAACTTCAAATACATGCTTTTGTTGTCATACATTATTACTGTAGTCCCCGAACTTTTGGATCGTACCACATATATAACAGATGAAAATTATGGCAATCTGGCAGAACAATTTTTACATTTTTGGACTCAGGAAACATTTAAATGTCGAGAAATGCAAAAAACTTTAAGGGTTTTTCTGTAAGTAAGGATGTCGGTGTGGGTGTGTGCATGTGTCTGTGTGACACAATTTTGTTCACCTACTTTGAAGCTCCTGTGCTTTTTGTTGAAAATTTCTGAAATTTGACAGGGAGGTTTGTTTATTAGGAGGATTGATGCTATTAAATTTTGATAATTAAAAGTGAGGGGTAAAAAGATAAAGGGAAGTTGTGTGTATCTCCAGTAGGATCAGACTTAATGACAATTTTACTCATTATTAGCATTCACAATTTTTTTATAAAACCCATCTCTACCTTCAAAATTAAGCTTTTTGCCATTTTATAATAATTAAAAATATAAAAAGTTTTTAATAATAAAATATCATAACAGCTGGTGCCACACATGCAGTTTTAAATGTTGCCAAGAAAGTTAAGCAACTCATTGCTGGAATTTGTAATAGGTCACAGTTTGTTTTTACATTCCAAAATTGGAACATTAAAGGACCTGAAGACAATCTTAATAATAGATCAAAAACATTTATCTATTAAACTTATTTACTTGAATTTTAAGGTTTTAAAGGTGTGTAATTTTCTGCAAAATACTGTTTAAGCATTGTGATCAAATGTGTTATTCAGAATTATTCAAAAATGATTCCTATTTCTAAGTGACAGCTTAACATATTACTGTTATAGATCCCACTATCAATCTACCAATCACTAACAGAAGGGTCTATGGCAGAATTTATCAAATGGCAGCTTAAATTTGAAGAAATCCTCTGGGGAATCAAAAAGTCATGGCTAGACTGTTGATGACAAGTATATCCAACCTTCACAGAATCAATGTGAAGAATTGGGACTCAAGGCTTATTGAATGGACTACAGGCATTATCTTACTGAAGCTCTAAAATAAGCTAGAAATCAGAAATGTATACAGCTAAGTACATAAAATCAAAACTTCCAAAAATGGTCCTTTCCTATGAGAACTTCAGTGTTATGCAATATATCATCTAACAAAATAATAGTTTTTTAGCTAAAAAGTCTGCAGGCATTTCTCTGGAGAAGAAAAGATGTCATATCCATCTTATGTTCAGAAGGTTACTGTTTGATGGGCTTTGTCTTATCAAGAAGGATGAAATATACAGATGGACAAAAGTAAGACGAGGCCAATTACAAAAATTTACAAGGAGGAAATTTTGGACAACTAGGTAAAGCCAATGATAGATTGCTGCAGATAAATAAGTCATGGATCTTCCAGCAAAATTCAGCTCCTGTTCACAAAGACTAGAGACATAGTTCAGAGATAATGAAATGCCATGGTTATACAACAGAGGAATGGCCCATGTCAAATCTAGACCTCAATCCACTTTAATATGAATTATGGGAAAATTTGATGTCTGATGTGTACTATAAAATGTATAGCAATGTTTTCTCTCCAATTGCAGCCCCTGAAGAAATCTTCTTTAAATTTCTGATAGACCATTATTTGTTTTGTAATAGAAAATTAGTCTCAGTACTTTCACACTTGTATCAAGTTCACAAAAAGTGGACCATTTTCAGAATAAACAAAGATAATAAAACTTGAATATCTAAGAAACTTAAAGAAATTCACTTTGAACATTTTAGTCAGTTGTTTTTTGTAAATATGAAATTTAAAAACATAATAAAATATAAAATAACAGAGTAATTTAGGTTGAAAACATTAGCAGTAAGGCTAAATTTATGCTAAAAATCTCAGGTTTTTATTTATGATTTGAATTTTTGTTGAGCTGCAATTTGAAAAAATTGTAGAGCTATAAATTCCCACTGTTGTCCATCCATCCATCTGTCTTTCCTTAATTCATAATGGAGTTAGTTAGATGAAAGACAAGACCAGATATGGAAACCTTGGAGCCAGGAGGCCCCGATTAACTATATGTGAACTTTCTATGCAAACAGGAAGCCAAGTATTCCAATTCAAAAATTTTCCAACTGAAAGGAGTTAGATAGACAGCCAACATGACTATCATTAAAGGAAAAGTATGATGTACAGGGGAAAGCCACTAGTATATAAATTATAATTATATATATTATAAATTAAATACATTAAAAATATGATTAAAAATTGCAGTCTGGCATTGTGACAATGCCATAATAAATAATATAATTACTCGTTATGATTAGGTTTTCATAATTTACTTGAATTTTAAACACAAAGCAAAAAACTTTGAAAATTTTTATATTTTTAAAGGTAAAAAATATCTATTCAATGATTCATTGAATGATAAATCTATTCAATGATAAAAAATACAACAACAGTCTTTAGAAACATACATTTCATTTCATAACAAAAAGGCTATCTTATTTCATGTGTTTGAAAGATATTTTTGTGGCTTTTTTTGTAGATGTTATGCCACAAGTAACACCATCTGTTCAGATCAACTAAATTAAATTTTTTGCATCAGTAAATATCACTCTCTTATATTCTTTTTTCCAAAACATGCTATCTTGTCCAGTTAAGTCCATTTTTCTTTGTTTTTTTGTTATTTGTGACTGGAAGTTCTACTTCACATACATTACACTTCTGGAAACTCTGGACAAGATAGATTTAGACACATTTCTCAAGGTGTCTAAGAAATGGATCTTTTGCTATTGTTTAAGAGAAACTTTCCACTCTTTAGCCTTTTCAAAACCATATTATTCTGCTTACCAGAAAACTTTCCTATTTCACCTGTAGTTTCTTTTTCCATAGTCACCATCCATTGAAGAAAATTCAGGACTATATCATGTGACTGACATAATATTTTAGCAATTAATCTCACTAATTTGCCACAATTTTTCCAAGCTGAGATCTGGTCTTTTTTAAATTCACTTAAAGGTTTTCTCAGCTCATATTATGTATAGTTATCTACAAATTCTGCAGTAAAAATGTTGCCCAAATAGTTGATTTTATGAATAATTTGCATAACTTGTGATGGTAAAAATTTCACAAGTTAACTGTGCATAATATCAAGACACCAGTTATGATTTTAATAAAATAGTTATATCATTTTGTAACACACAATCTCTGAAATAATTGGACTTAAAACTTCTATTGATCATTTGCATTTAATTAATGATTAAATACAGGTAGCCCTCGGTTTACGCCGGTTCAATTTACACCGATTCACAATAACGCCGCTGCACAATTCACCATTTCGAGGTTAATTCCCCGATTTTCCCTATGCTAGACTGATTTTCATTTCAGTGTTGACGTATTTACCGAGCCGTGACATTGTACATTCGTTAAAACAAAGATTTTTATTAAATATATTTATTTTTACTGTTTAATATTATTGGGTATGTATACATTTGCATTAAATTAATATTAAAATACTAAACATTTAGGTTCCCACGAGTCAAGATATTAAACTTAATAGTCCAATAAATGGCGTCCGAATCCATAGCGCCAATGAATGTATCCTGTATCAGTTCATTGAGGAAAACACCTTACGACGCAATAGCACTTCCGGCGATCACAAATTATCGTTAGTGAGACAAATCTACTTTTCATCGGCCAGACGATATTTATCTCTCCTTAGCCACCTTGAATTTTCCTGCTCAAACTGACCTTATATATGCGCTACGGCGACCGGTGGTCAACCAATCAGTGTCTTCGCTCGTCTGTAGCTCTATGTCGGGTTAACATATCCTTTCAACTACGGAAAGTTTGACGGATGAAGTTTGTGAGTTAGACAATGTTGGGAGCGAAGTGCAAATGTAAACAGAAGCATCATATTCAGCCATATTCTGAAATTCTTAATGAAAGAAATCAAAAATGTAAACAATTAAAGATGGATACTTTTTTCCGAAAAATGTAAGAAATTCGAAACTAAAATTTTTAAATAAAAACATTTTACTTTATTTTATGATAAAATACATTTTAAAAATTAAAAATTTAAACGTATTTTGTATTATATTGTACTAATAAACAAAATTATTAGCTTATTTTTCACTTATGTAGAACCTAACCCTATACCTCACTGTAAATACGGGTTCGTTTTACGCCAATTCGATTTGCGCCGGCTTTTGTAGGAACGGAACTGCAGCGTAAACTGAGGGCTACCTGTATTGTAATCAAAAAAGTTCCTCATTTGCACTTGATCTTTTTCTTTATTGTCTTATTTTAAACAATCATGTGGTCATATCATTATGAAATACACTGTATACTTTTCATCTCAGTGTTCACAGGACAGTAATTTGTTTTAAAAATTTATATTTCATATTATTCATTGAAACAAAAATTAAATATTCAGACAATATTTTACAGAATAAAACAAATAATACACTTAAATTATGATCATTGTATTTTAAATTACTACATTTTAATATTAATTTTCATTCCAGAGTTATATGTAATTTGAACAGAGTATTTTGTACTTTAACAGTAGCAGTCTGAAATATTTTGAAACTGTTACTCTCATGCCTTTTTATGTCTGGAAAAAAAATCTTAAATAAAATGTAAATAAATGGAAAAAAAATTACTGAAAATTAACCTTTTAAACTGAAGAAGATATATTTTGATATTAGATGATAGACAACAGGCAAAATAAATGCACTTAAAGTAACATTTTATACTCAGCATTTTAAAGATTTTTGTCTAAAGGCAAGAGATTCTGTATTTTCAGAGATGAATACAGATTTAATGTTCATTTAAAAAAGTGAAATAGAAATATGAATATGATAAACAGAGTGAAACATTAAACAATAAGCTAAGTAGTCTTGATTGTCAAACATGTCAAAATTTTATAAAAGAGAAAAAAAAACAAACTAAAAAAAAGATAGCTCACTTATCTTGCTTTTACTTTGTAATAACCTGAATTGTATTTATCTTTATTTTTTTAAAGTATTGTATTATTTTTAGATATAATACTGACAAGAAATCATTACACATAAGTGTAATTCAAAATGCATTTATATTAGAGAGAGAATAATAAAAAAATGTATCAAATACTAGCTTGGTTACTTAGTTTGCTGTGGAAATTTGTAATAGATCTGTATCAAAATCACTTGGTTTATGAATTAAGAAAGAAGAGACAGAATATGTTTATAATCCCAATAAAATAATTAAAATCCAATAATTCTAGTGCCTGGAAAATTTAATCATATATTCAGTTCTTTGTATATTTATTTTATCAAGATCAAAAGGATTTTGCAATTAAAATAAGTTGGAAACTGATGTTTTAGAGAAATTTTTCAAAAATAAGACTTTGAAATTTAATTCTGAAAATTTTCACTTTTGAATGTTACCCCATTTTTGAGGGTCTCAAAAAGTTCACCTATAGGCATTTGGGGGCCTATATATCGCAAAGGGTCGCCCTTATGGGCATGGTTTATTGACTTTTTTGTTCCTATCAATATGCTCTACAGCACTCTTCCAGTCCCAATCGCGTCAATCTCTTCTAGATTTGAACCAAACTATTTAACATCAAATACTCCACAAACAGTCAAGTAGGCTACTCGAAGCCAGCATAGTCACACGGAATGGTTAAAGCATACCTAGGTAACCCCAATGGTGATGCTTCCAACTGTTTGTGCTCCCAACAGACTTCTTCCGGAGGGGAGCCGCCAGCAGGAGGTCGAGTGTTTAACGTCACTAGTTATTGATTCACAGTAGTTCTTGAACAAAATAAAATAAAAATAAAAATGTCTACTAAAAATATGCTAAAAATACTAACCGAAGCAATGCCATTGGGGCTACCTACATGCACTTTTACCATAATTTCTATTTCATTATTAAAAAGAAATATATTCTCAATATCTACAAACATAAAAATATTTTTGTATATTTACCCTAAAATAAAAGATGGGGTCAAAATTGATGCCTTGTTTATGCACATAATCACTTGATTCAAAGCACAGTTCTTTATGAGTAATTTGGAAATTGCTGTAGATATTTCAAGCAATTTACTAAAAGTAAGTGAAACACAATGTTGTTCATCAGTAAAGACAACAGCCTCATTTTGTGGGAATCTTTCTGCACTTTTTATTACTAGTTCTTCTAATCTGCACTTATTTAGTTCTGAGTTATAACTCATTGTGAATATATTGAAGGATTATCATCAAAAACAAGATTTAAATCGTATAAGATTAATAAACTGCAGACATGATCTTCACATTATCTTTAAACACGTGCAAAAGTTAAGTTAACGCAAAACACAACTTTCTCTAGTTTACTGTATTTATATAAATGTTTTGTTTAAATAATATAAATATATTTGAAATTTGTAAGTGAACAAATTCGTACAGTTTTGAAAAATACATTTGTTTTCTAATGTTTTGTGTTTTCCCTACACAAACGTGAACGTGAAAGCAGAAAACATGGTTTACTCGCACTTGACGAAACGGACACTAGAGCAGTGTTGCCACGCCGATTTGCTTGCCATCGGTAGATTTCGGTAATTTTTCGGTAAATCGACTTTTTGTGTCAGAAAGGAGGTTGCACATAAACAATAACATTCTTTTTCGTCATTTATTTTATTATACACTATAAAACAATAAAAAACAAAAAACTAACAAAGAACACTTACGTAAAAAAATAATAATTTACTAATTAAGTACAGTAGGTACTACATTTTGTCTTATTTTTTTAACAAAATACAGTATTACCTTTTATTTTTCGGATGTTAATAATAATTATTATTCAATATCTTCCGTTTGTATGTTTTTTAACACTCTGTTTGTTATTTTTAAAATTAAATTATCTTTTACAAAAAAATCGTAACAGTAATTTTTATCCAATTAATTGTTTAGTAAGAAGTAAGCCAGTGATTGTTTCAGAGCTCACAAGTCAGTTTATTTCCGTGTTTCGTGTTTAACAGATTTATTTACGAAAATATTCTTTCTATTCCATTAGCTGAAGAATGGGGCAGACACAAGATATTCTCAACAAAACGAGACAGAATCTTTGCAATAAAGTCTCTTACAATATATAAGAAATGAAGGCACAGAGAAATGTTTTATTGAGAATTTTTAGATACATTGAAAATAAAAATTTCTTTCTTGAATTATCGTAAACTTTTCGGTAGATTTGGGCTTCAATCGGTAGATCGGTCCCAAAATCGGTAGATCTACCGAAAATTCGGTAGACGTGGCAACATTGCACTACAGTAATTATAAATTAACGCATTCGATTAGAGAAATGCCATATTTAATCAATTTTAATGTATATTATTCAGAATTCATATTTTAAAATATTTATTTATTTATGAATTTTATCACAATTTTATACAATAACGGAACATTTCAGTTAATATAATGTAATGCGCTTTTTTTCTTAATTTAACTCTTTCCGCCCAAGAGTCTCTTTTAACAAGCCCATTATGGATTCGGCCAAGCCCACAATGGGGCGGCCGGGTGATGAAGGATGGGGCTCGACATATTCGAACGCACTAATCCCAGAAAATTTCCTCGGGATTTATCGACCCGTCCGGATTCAAACACGGGTCCCTAGAGCGGTAGGTTGCCACCTTGACCGCTCGGCCGTTAGACTAAATATGGCTGACATAACAAACTATGATTCTATTTCTCAATAGAGTGGCCATCACCCAATGCCTAAAAAGGACAACACTGTTGGGTGTAGCCCTCGTGCTTTCCTTTTTTTATACATACATATAAAAATAAAAATAAAAACGGAAGAATAAATTTGGCGATGCCTATGAGACCGTCAAGTCAGCTGAGAAAGACACGAGCGTCGGCACTCGGTCGAAGAAACTTGCAAAGAAAACGTCTCTTCTTCTAGGGGGTCAGCAATAGTGTGCTTCCAAATTTTAATAACGCCAACCTCTTCCACCTCGCCAGTTACACATACAACTTCGTCCAGTTAAAAGGAGAATTCTGCGGAAGTCCGAAGATAATTGGTTAAACCTTTCATCTTTGCCGTGCCCTCGTCCAAAAAACATTTGTGAACACTTGTAAAATTTTTTGGCCTCTTAACGAAGAAAATAGCCAAAGTGCCACTAAGTCAAAGTGGTATGGGCCATCTGGAAGCGTTAACCGGCTTCCTCAATTCATTCGAAGTGACAACTGAACTATTTTTCTACGCAATTTTCATAACACCCCAAAAAGGAAGACAAATCGATGTCCGGTGCAAGGTGATGCCAAATGGAGGACAGAGTAGTCAAATGCCTGACAATCCGGCAAAAAGCCACTTTATTTCTCAACGAGCTAGAATATACTACCACAGCCCACAGAATAAAACAGCCTTGTCATACGAGAGAAATCCCGTAGATACAAGTAGCGTGCCGTCACATTTGATGATAGGGAAGCCGTGTTTCCATAAAAATTTTATACAAATACAGTAGAGCAGGGGTCGCCAAACTTTTTTAACCCGGTAACAACGGGACGCGTTTTCTCAGGACGGTAAAGGAGGTGAGAGGGTCGTCGGTCAGGCATAGGCGATACTCGAATATACGACACCAAGAGTGCAAGAGAAACGAACATTTAATCATCCATTTATACTAAGTACATATAGGACCTTTGGATGCGCTATACTAATTATATTCTTTCGCGTAGTACCGAGAGAGAGTTTACATGGTCAGCGATCATACCTCTGGACGAGTTCAATTTCGTATTCGTCGAGATTCTTCGTTCAACCAGGTGCAGCGATCGGCGTTCGGATCGGATTCTGTCGGCGATATAGATGACGAGTTCGATTGGGTTGATCGAGAGGTGATCGCTGTAGTTCGTTGAGAGACTTCTCCGACCCCCGTTTTGGATAGCAACCCCCTTTTTATATTAGGAATCACATGATTACAATTACCAATCGTACTTATTGGTGATGACTGTCATCAGAACTCCGGTTGAGAATCCGGTGAGGGAGGAAGTAGTTTCCGGCA